GTTTCTGTTTCTGTGTTTTGCTATTTTCTTGCGAACACTCGGGCTAACGTGACAGTTACCCCGGTTCCTGCCTTGTTTCCCATAGAGTTGCCTTCTTGTCCCGGAGCGGTTCGACCCTCCAGCTCTAGACTCTCTCCTTTCCTCTCTCTGGGGCATATCCCCACGGCGTGCGGTCACTCCGCCACCCTCACCGTGCTCTCTGCTGCTGCATGGCCCCGGTGTCCAAGCCGGGGCGTTAGGATTCAGTCTCATTTTTTTGCAGCTACCAAAGCTGGCAGTTCACGAGCTACCCCGATCTCACGACAGCAGTAACTCCCAACCGCCAAACTCAAGGATCCCCCTCTCAACAGTGCTAGGGACCATATATCCGTCTTTCCTGGGTAATGCGTGCGTATGGTTGCCTCCCTGCCCGGGATTAGCCTGACAATGACAGTGTCGGGGCACATCAGCACTTGCCCCGTGGAGGATGCTTGATCCGCGGCGTTTCAGCTGTTACATTATTTAATTCTTTTTGTTTCCACGTGCGCGGCATAGTGTGTAGTTGGCTCCTTTCGATAGGACAGGAGCATTCAGCAGGTGCTTCGGGCACCAAGTTGCCCCCCATCTCCATGAATGTGTGCCTAGCGTTGCCTATCCCCCACAAAATCGAAGCCCCGTCCAATCTAGAGCTGGATTGACAAATCCTTCACGCTGGAATAGGTGTCTATGTGTCTACCCTTTTTGCCTGCCAACGAGGGGTTCGGGCCACGCCGCTGCAACCTTCCGACGCGGATTATATTCCCCCGCGTTTTTGCACTATGTCGTACGCACACAGCAACTTGATGATTGATGACTCTCTCTCTCCTCGTCGGAACACGTTACCCATCCATCTATGCATCCATTGTCCACTCCAATCTCGACCAATTAGCGCGTGCGTATGTTTGCCTACCTGCCATCAAACTCCAATCCACAACGGGACTACCCACTTCGAGGCCTGGATTAGCCTGCCAACGACAGGATCGGAGCACACCTCTGTCACCCACCCGGCGGACGCTGCTCATTTCGCCGGGTTTCGATCGTGTTACATTTTACGTACAGAATGTGCAAGTATGCGTTCATTACTCTGTTTTTTGCATGCATCATCACCATGTGTCTCTGACCCGTGCACCCGAACATGATGCGTGCTAAATCGAACGCAGTAGGAGGCAACAAAGTGAAGCAACGGGCATATAGTCATCTGTCACTTGCCCCGGAGGCTGCTTTCCCCCCCCCATTACGCGGGCTATGTTTGTTTTTCGTGTTTTTTACGTGCGCGTGCATCGAAATCGTTGTCAGATTCTTTGACTGATAAAATATAGACCAAATCAAGAAATCACATTCGTATAGGACTAGCACATTTGCCTGAATTAAGCTGGGATACCAATGAAACTATCGTAACCTTCAGAGTACCGGTACGCCTACAGACAAGCAACAAGCTCAGGCACGCGCGAAACACGGCCGTTGAACAACCAATTCAATGCCGTGCCTGCGCTCACACTAAGAAGAGCCGAGCAGTTCAACGATGGAACCGATCCTCACACTCGTCCACGCCGCTCGCACCTCTCTGGACAATCCACCCATTGATTTGGATATTGTTGCAGCTGGTACATCATCTACTGTACGTCGGACCCCTTTTACGCGTTGTTTCTCGCGAAAATCCCCCAGGGATCGATACCAGAGAGGCGGCGGAATTATCCTCGCCAGAAAGGGAGACCAATAGACCGGCGTCCGTGCCCGACTTCGAAACGACGGAAACGCTTCGGAAACACGTGCAACAGTCTTCAAAGGACGACTACTGGTCAAGGTGACCACTCGCACTGCATACCCCGTTTCACCATCAGAAATCAAATCTGTTACCACCATTTGTATGTCTCCTTGTCGGCTATAAACATGCTTATGAAAAGTGTCTTGATTTCCAATGCTTCCCAGCTGCAATCGCCGTTTTTCTGTGTGGTAACGCGGAGATTGTCTCATCATCATCGATACAAATATTAGTTTCAGATCGCTTTTAGGTGCTGCAAACATCTAGGGAAACGAGGATTGACGATCATTGCGAAGCATGGATGGAGTACTGTTTTACAACGCTACTTTTGGTGCTTTTCCCATCCTCCTGTCCGTGTGCGCCTCAGACAAAATTTCTAGCAATTTCATGCCTCAGTCGCTTAGCCGCAATCTTAGCACGCCTTGCCACTCGAAAAGTGAACTTGCACCGCCCCACCTCCAATTTTCAATTACTCCCAGCTGGCCGCCCTTGCCCCCCCACATGAAAAAGGCTTGGCCTGGCGTACACTCTGGAGGAACAGGGAGAATACTTCACGACAATGGGAAACTTCTCGGCCAGCTGCTCCTCGTATTCAGAAGCCTCGGAGGTATTTCGGCAATGCTCCGTTATTCTGCCTACGGAGCCAGAGTCTCTCCTGCGACATTGGGTCACCGCACAACGGGCATGCGAGGTGCAACCTGTTAGGCGCTGCGCGGTGTTTGTGGGACATGTGAAATCTACCGCAGCACTGCAGTCCCAAGCTGTCTGGCAGCAAAACGTGGTGTTCTGACGCATACGTCCACGGTTTGAAGGCCGATGAAGGTCTCGGAGAGTGAATTAGGCAAAATGGAACCGTACGAAATGATTGGTGTACACGCTGCGTATTCTGGGGCATCGGTAGGAGTCAACAAGAGGTTGATACACGGCACCATCCGATGAAATGCAAATGTTGCGAATCGACGCTGAATAATGATCGCCTCCACCTCCACAGGTGCACCTGAGTGTCACCTGGCGTGCAGTGACGACGACGACCATTGGGTTGTTTCCGCGCTAACCATACCACCCTTCACGAGAGTGAAACCGTTTGTCACAGCAGTGAATGGTTTGGAGTGAATAGCATTAGGTTTGGCTCTGTTTTGATCACCCTCTCGGTCCCCTTTACCGGCGAACCCCTTGCAAGTGACTATCCATTCAGCCTCCATGCGAAGAACATAATTCCTGCAAAACGCTGTGTTCGAACGTTTCGTCGTGTTGAACCAACATTGATATCACTCTGCGCAATGTAGTGGGGATCAAGGTAGAACAGGATGGCAAAATTCACTGCGGGTCGTAGTTTCCATCTCGGCTTCGTTACCTCGCGGGAGGCCGCCCATTCTGGAAAGGGTTGTGTCTCAGGTTCAAATACTTGGGGTTGGCCGACATTCGGTCCACTCCTCGCTCGACCCCCTTCGGCCACGAAGCCATGTTGACCATTGTTTTCCTCGTTCACTTCTCCGCTTTCAGGTGGGGTATAACAGAAAGCCGCCGGGGACTGAGGTGCTCGAAACGTGCGTGAAGGTGAGAAACTACGCATCGTGGGAACAAAGCTAGCACGAGTGAATAACGTCTGGATAGGATGGACATTTTCCCCATGTCACCCTCAGACGGGAAATTCTTGAAGAACGCCACCGATGTGCTTTCGATAATGCATTTACATGTTCGAGGAATTGAGTCGGCAGGGATAACCCATCTACGTGCCCCCAAAGCGGTAAATCGGTAAATGAGGGCTAGCCAAGAACGCACTATCACAGGCAATAACAACAACAACACGGAAACCCTTGCCGTGGAATCAATGTGCAGCTTTGCGTCAGGGAGCAAAAGCCACAAGGCGCAGCGGGAGAAAATATTGGTCCTGGCAGCTGCACAAACTCCGTGTGCTACGACGCCCATATGGAGCTGGCGGGAGAGCTGCTTGCGCGCGGCGGATTCGAAAGGTTTGGGTGCTCGCATTCAAACCTAGGTACCCAATTTTTTCCCCTAAGGCGGCCGGTTAAATCCGGGTGGCTTGAAACCGTGACTGAAGCATCGATATTGCGCGATTTTGATTATCGACAGGTGCACTGAGATTTGCGGGCACATACTCGGAACGCACGACGCCAACGACATCGAGGCCTTGTTCTCTCTTGCCCAAGCCCTAGAAGCGTTGGGGCGTTCCGAAGAGGCGCTCAAGTGTGCCGGAGCGGCGGATTTACTTATTCTTGCCGCCTCCGAAGGTTGATGTCGAGAACACATCGCCGGTTGGGCAGCACACTGATTGGATACTGAAAGGGCTTGAGCAAAATTCCTTATCGGGATTGTTTTCCGCTTGGCGGTGATGTTTGAGCTGTCCACGTGATGAAGCTCCGACACTGCCCTTTTTCTTTCCTAAGCTTCCGTGACATATCTCGCTCTGTACATCTTGCGGGACTCCCGCCAATGCTGCCATCCTTGCCTCAACCATGAAAATTTGTGAGCCTGAATATGCTCTGCCAGTATACTCTCTCAACGTGGTCGGTGTCCTCCCAGTTGTACCCAATGTGCATGCGCACGGCCGTGATGCTGTACTACTTGTAGTGACCATAGAGTTGGTCCCCACCTTCATTCTCGAAAGGGCGCGCAGAGTAGAGATCAACATCATATCGACCACTAGGTAGCTTTCTCGGGAATACGCAGTTCTGGTTCCGCCTGACGATGCTGATCGAGAGCGCGTGCAAAGAGCTACGGTGACAAGCCCCTGTACGGTTGCCTTCATTTCAAGGAGCTCCCTTCATCTGTGCGGCGTGTGTTCTACAACTCATACGGCATGCTTCGAAACGACGAACTGCCCATTGACCACAGAAGTTCGTGCGCAACGCCCCACTTGAAAACTCTCGAAAAACGGACATGCAGCCGCGCCATGTACACAAAGCGAACCCCACATCGTCGAGTTTCATCAATATCTGGAAACCATGGCCACAATAACAACCCAACTCCTTGCAACTCCACGCACGGCTCAACGAGCAACTGTGGTGCATCTGCATTCGTAAATGGCATTACCCTTGGGAAATACCGTTTTCTCCAAATCAACGACAGCATTTTTGCCCACCAGGAAATGGCAGGCAGAATCGTGGAAACCACCGTCGTACACATGAAGTCCACACCCATTCGTCAACTAAACGGCGTTGAAGAGTAGCTGGAGCCCGTTTCCACTGCATTCTTCGCCTTAGGCCTTGGAGACCGCAACCTCTGCAACTGGGTTCTTCCAGTCATAGTCTGCTTGCGAAAGGTCTCCCACGCCTTTGATGCCTCGGTGCACGTGGATGAAGCCCTCTGAACCACGGCCATGATTTTCCCTTGTCTTGGGACTTGCGGGCCACGCCCGTCCCGGCATGCAGCTACACTTCTCGTTGTTTTTCTCGGTACCTTTGCGAGGGGGCAGGCAAAACGGAGGGCCTGTAAATCTATTGTTCATTTTTCAATCATATATTGTTTCGGCATTTCCTCGTGTGTGCGTTTGTGCGTCGTGCGGTCGTTTCATCCATATCAACGGCACGCCTAAACACCCCACCGGTGGGGTGTAATTTCTCAACCACCCCATCGGTGGGGCGGTTAACGCATAAACACCCTACCACCTGTAGGTCGCTCTACAAGACCCCAATCAGCACACGACTTCAACGAATGTTTTGCGGCGTTGCAAGGCCATCATTGGACCCATCGTAAGGCCGAAACGGCACAGTATTGGTGGTGCTACGGATGGTGGGGAACATGCGCCGTTACCCCACTGGTGGGGTAGATAACAGGACATGGTGTTCAGGACCTGGGCACCTACCTTCTCATGCGCCACGATGACCGCGGCCGAGAAGTCCTGCTTGAAACTCAAGTTCGTCACGCGAACCCGAAACGATGTTACCGTACGCGGCGGTAGGTTTGATTGCCTCCGGGTTGACTATTTCAGTGCACCTGATTGGTCAGGGGTATCCCGCCCGCTGCCTACAACATCTCTGTGGTATGCAACATCTATTTACTATGGCTGCCTCCTGGAAACCCACTCTATTATTAAGGTCAAAGATACCGAAGCTGTTTTGTTGGTGTGTTTTCGTCCTATTGATTATGGCGACAGTCCCCCCTTTTCGTGGTGAGACGTGTACTTCACCTTTCTGTGAATGTAGAGTTCTTCGCTTTCCAGTGAAAATTTTTCGAACATCTACAGCCATCCAGGGTCACACAGGAGGGGGTAAACACCGGGGCCTTACCTTCTATTCATTTTTATCACGAGAAGGGTCCGGCCGTCCCTTTCCCTCCTCAACGGTGCTAACGTCAAGTTTTGGTACTCACAAGAACCTTTACAGAGCTATTTCGCTTTCACCCGCAAGTTTTGTATTGTTTTCATCCCATGGGGAATTTCGCACTCATGACCTGATGCGACTAGCGGTTTTCGAGGATGCCACTAGACCACCGGGGTAACCAAGTAGCATGAGTTTGTTTGTTCTCATAGTTGACGGAAATCACGGTCGCCCTTCCTCACGTTGGGCGATGCGTGCCTCCACGCGCTGTTCGCAGGCGATGGACCGGTACTTCATGACCGTGCCGGACAAGTGGACGGGCTTCGCGATGAGCAGCTCAGTGCCCAACTTCGGCGGCGTAGATCTCGACCAACCCCGTTGAGACGGCGGGTCTCAACTCGAATTTTGACCAAAGATCATTCCAATGGCTCGACGACAACGGCCTCATTCCAGTTTTGCTCCTCGTTCCCTCTCATCTCAAGCGCGATAAGCTTCGTATCTAGTCCCGGTGGAGGTTACGGTACTCCCCGGTCTTCCATCGTGACCCCGGTCTTCCATCGTGACCGACAAGCTGTGCTTTCCCATGCTGAACACGTTGGGTTTGGCCACACACCCGATGAAAAACGTGGTGTATGGATGTGGATATGTTCTCCCCGAGCTCACCAAATATGGTTTCTGTTGTTGCGTCCCCCTTGAATGTACGAGGCTGGTCGAAACGGTCTGCAGGCCGTGGTAGTTTCGATCATGGTGCATGTGGTTCGTGTGTGCTGGAAGGTGTCTGGGCGGCTTTTGGGGGTGGGGTATCAAGCCCACCGCGCGCTTGTCCGGCCCCTAGGTTCGTTTTCATCCCGACTTACTTGTGTATTGTCGATGCCTGTGCGTGCCGTGCTGTTTGAGTCGGAGCGGAATGCCGCGAGTACTGCTCGAGTTTGCTTGCGCCTGGTGATGGAGTTGCTGTGAAAACACAGGAGCACTTTGTTTTTGCACTCTGCCTGGTATTGTTTTTGAGGGCGGGGGCGTTGGTTTGGTACAGATGTGACCGAGAGACGGGTGCTAACATGACACGCTACAGGCTACGGTGACAGCCGCCCGCACCGTTGTCGATAACGCTTATTCAGGGCATCGAATGGTGCATTCGGTGCCACTATAGCCGCCATAATCTGGAGACTGGGGCCAGGCAACGATGTTTCCGCCCGCCCAGTAGTTCGCCGTTGCCACTGCTGATAGGTCTCCTCCGTCCTCCTCTCACACAACAATTCAGCTCACCTTGAATGTCGTTGTTGTTTTGGTAGAGCCAACCCTTGGCGGAAGAGATCATTGACACTAGACCGAAACAACACGCGAACTTCACCGTATTCGTTTCGACTGGGTGGGGTTGTAGGCGGCGAAGAACGCAAGGCAAAGACAGGTGACTGAAAATGGGGGGGATGAATGAGATCATGCACAGCTTCGTGTCTGCTTCAATACAGTCTATGTAGTCTATTCAAAGCCATTCGCCCTTTCGGCCTGTCGCGCGAGAGAACCCAAGATCCAACCGAAGAATGTGTAAGTCGGCGTGTCTTAGTGCCTTGGTGTGGACGAGTTTTCATTTCAGTATCACCTGGGGGAATATGTGACAGCTTGGGAACGACTACCCTCTACACTCACTCCATTGAGAGAGCATGATTGGGACAGGTTTTGTGTCAATCGCACCAACCTCTCGCTGTATCTGACCATGTGCCCACTTGGTACGTTCGAAGCGATTTGGACGGACTCTTCATCGGTGCCGTACCACTCGGCGAATCATCGTCGTTGCCATGATGGTTCACTTGAGTCCACCTCCCGGCCGCGTGCCGTCTAGACTCTATTGCAGTCGTGTGGGAGTGTCGGATGGCCGTATTCTTGGGGCTGAGATGTAGTTGCGAGCCTCTATCATTTGCAACGGGTGGGTAATATCAAGGTGCAAGAGTGGATCGGGTTGGATCATAGCTTTGGCCCCGAAGGAAGGCATCCGTTTGCTGCCGTAGCATCGTAGCGACGGAGGTATCCGCACCATGCTCTTGGTACATGTGGCACATGGAAAGTACGCAGAAAGTGAAAAGCCGGAGTTCAAAATCGTTGCCCGCACTAGCTAGGAACCACGAGAGTGCTCGTTATGTTACTGTCTCCAGCAACTGGAGCCAAAGTTGTGCCCGGATTAGCCAAAAGCTTTGGAATACTTGGCGCGGGATCGGGTCCAATGACTCGACATTATTTCGGAGAGGGTGACGAGCGACTTGTGACGTTTTCTGGGTAACCTACCTAATTATTTGACAAATGAAATAAGATTCCATGGAAGTCGAAATTGACTTCCATAGAATTCACTGCTTCCATGGAAGGAAGTGGTCACCCCTTCATGGAAGCCTATGGTTCGACTTCCGTGGAAGCAATCCCACTTCCTCCATGTGATTCCCATGGGAGTTCCGTGGAAGTTAATATCGCTTCCATGGAAGTGCCGGCTTGCCTTTGCGTGGAAGAGGTACAAAACGTGTAGCTTCCATCGAAGCGGTCAGCTTCCATGGAAGGAAGTAGATCCAACTTCCATGAAAGCTCATTTATGCTTCCATCGAAGCTGTACACATTTGTCAAATAGTGAGGGAGATCGGGGGTCGTTTTCCGTTCCACTGACGGACTAGGGAGGAAAGAGCAGCCCGTCCGTTGTTGGGCAGAATGGTGGTTTGGATATGGTAAGTCCGAGAAATGCCAATGTCGGGTTTGACGTTCTGCCGGCCGGGGTGGGGACAAGCAGTTGTTGAGCTGTCGACTTGACAATGCTCCGACACGGCCATCATGTTGATCTACCCTTCCGTGATTTAGACCTTACCGCTGTATCTGGCTCTGTACGTCTTGCGGGGCTACAGACCAGCTGCGGTCCTGGCCTCAGACGTAAGAATTTGGGGTGAGGTTGAACAAGCACCCAAAAGCATGCGCACAGCTGTGCTGCTGTACTACAGTAGTGACCATAGATTCGGTCCCCACGTTCATTCTCGAAAGGGCGGACACAATGTCTCGTGCGGAGTAGAGATCAACATCATATCGACCAACTTGGTAGCTTTCGGCGGGAATACGCAGTTCGGGTTCCGGCCGACGATGCTGATCGAGAGTGCCTGCAAAGAGCTACGGTGACAGGTCCTTCATTTCAAGGAATCCACTTCACTCTGTGATTACAACCCGTACGGCTGCTTCTAAACATCGAACCGTTCGTTGACCACAGAAGTTCGTCCTCAACGCCCCACCTACAACTCTCGAAATACGGCCCTACAGTCGCACCGTCTACACAAAGCCAGCGCCACGTCGTCGAGTGAAGAAAATCTGGGTTCATACCATGGCCACAAACACAACTAAACTCCTTTTGCAACTCCACGCACGGCTCAACGAGCAACTCTGGTACATGTGCATGCGCGCGAATGGTCTTCGGTACGACCGTTACCTCCTAATCAACGAAAGCACTTTTGCCCTGCGGAAAAAATGCAGCCAGAGAAACAAGGAAAGCACCATCGTATTGCTGTACATGTATATATGTATATATATGTAGTCCTCGCCCATCCGTCGACTAAACGGCGTTGTAGAGTAGTTGAAGCCCGTTTCCACTGCTTTCTTCGCCTTAGGCCTTCGATACCACAACCTCTGCAACTGGGTTATTCCAGCCGTAGTCTGCTTTCGAAAGGTCTCCCACGCCATCAATGCCTCGGTGCACATGGATGAAGCCCTCTGAACCACGGCCATGATTTTCCCTTGTCTTGGGGCTTGCGGGACACGCCCGGCCCGGCATGCAGGTACACTTCTCGTTGTTTTTCTCGGTACCTTTGCGAGGGGGACGGAAGAACGGAGGGCCCGTGAATCGATTCTCCGGTATTTTGTTTCATTTCCCTCGTGTGCGCGGTTGTTTGTCGTGCGGTCGTTTCGTCCATATCGCAAATACCATTGGTGGGAATCGTTTCCACCAAGAATCGTTGCGAGCCATCCAGAGAATCGTTCTCGTTTTTCGATCCAGATCGGGGTATGTCCTAAAGCAGGTCACGACAGGGGGGGTTCAAGTAGGATGCGCAAGTGAAAAGTATTCTCGTAGGCAATCGTGATGTGAATACAGAACATGATATTCGATTGTTCGGACGTCTATTATAGCTTTGGAAACACACGTGTCGGTGTCGACTATGGGGTATGGTGCTTGTGAAGAGCGACAGCTTCATGGCGATGAGGTACGCGTTAGAAAAGTAGACCTCATATTTCGGAATGGCGTGCGCGCGGAATTCGTGCCAGCTGTGTGAAAATCCCTTGTCCCTTACCGGCATCAAAGGCGGGGGGGAAGCGCTTGGACGGGCACTTGTCGAGGAATTTGGATCCATCGATTCCCATGAAGGCGTCGTTGGTGTTGGCTGCGTCAACATAGGCAGTTTAATCGATTAGAATTTCGGGTTGTGAGCAGCTTCATTCGACAGAGGAGTACACCCATCTCGTAGGAGAAGGCTTGGGGGGGTTTCACGAAACGATGTGGAATCAGTGACTGAAGTGAAATCGCTGAAAGCGATTGAGCGCGTGCGAGCAGATGTAGCAAACGGGACGCATGAGGCGGGATGAGGCGGTGTTCGGCGATATTTGACGCCGATTGGAATGGTGAGATCACAGGAAAATTGCCGTAGTCTGAAGCGGCGCCGTGCCACTGAGTTTCACACGTCCTGTAAAAAAATAAGGCCATGTGCCACCGGACTGTCTCCCTTCAGATCACCATCGGCAATGCGCCTGGGCATCAACATTCACACGCCCACAGGTTGTCCACATGGATTCAAGTTCAAATTTGCGACTTGGCGATAACGATGGGTGCATGCGTCGTCTTCGGTGTTTCGGAAACTCACTGAGCTTGGCCACCACCGAGTAGACAGGCTCCTTGCATTTGTTCGTGTCAAACGTGATTTCGCCATTCCATGTCTTCCCGGGCAAGAGGGGGCCCTCGGCCACGGCAAAGCCACAGAAGCCGCTCTCGCGTGTTGCGATCACCTGTGCGTGCATCGCCCGCCGTTTTGAGAGGCGCGTAGAAACGGTGGAACGTGTATGGGTTCTGCGTTTCGTACAGGGAACAGCGGTGTTGAAGTGTTCAAGTAGCTCCGGTGAAAACACCATGCCGCGCTCCGTATTGAGTCCCGTCCGAGCAAGAACACGGGGACAAATAACCTCGATGGACACTGGACGTTGAAAGTTCGACAGAATGAGAGGTAGGTACACATGTGAGAGCGAGGACACCTACTTATCTAGACTGCCACGGCAATTGGCTGTTACCGTGACGCGATGAATCCCTTGTGAAACCAACCAGCGACATACCTTTACCATCCCGTTGACGCCCTCTTCTGCCATCCGCTTGATTGCGGGTCTCGCCTTCCCGCCCATGGAGAACAGGGGACGACTACCCTGGTGAGCAAGACGGGGAACGAGTGTGAGAGACGAAAAGTGTCACGCCGTTGCGGGGGCTGCCGCCTGAAGCATTCATGGTTCGTTGGCAGGAGGTGAGGGCACAACATTCCAAGCCAGCCCGTATATTCTCTCCACACAATCACCGGACTGGTCGGGGATTGCCTCGAGCAACACGAAGAACACGTACATGGTGTTCAGGACCTGGGCACCTACCTTTTCATGCGCCACGATGATGGGGGGCGAGAAGTCCTGCTTGAAAGTCAAGTTCGTCACGCGAACCTGTACGACGTTCGTTCATGGATTGTGTTTGGAGAGGGCGCGGCAGAAAACGTTGGCTGGGTACAGACATGAGAGGGAGGCGCTATCGTGACCAAGCTACGGGTTGAGGGGACAGATACCAGCACCGCCATCGACAGTGTTTGTTCAAGGCACTGTTGCTTCTAGCTTCAACAATTTGTGGACTGGGGGAACTGCTGTACATTCTATGTCTCGACCGTCTGAGTAGCTCGACGTACACTGATTGGCCTCCGCTATCTTCCTCACACACAACACGACCATGGCAGCTCGCCTTGTACGTCTTCATGCTGCTGCCGCTCGTCGAGCCACCGCTGGCGAGGGAGAGCATTGATGCCAAAGCGAGACCGAACGCGAAGTTGACCATCTTCCTCTTGACTGCTGTAGGTGTGATATGGTTGGCAGAATGAAGGAACAGAGGGGACAAAGGCCAAGACAGATGAGTGAGGCAGGTGATGGTGATGGGGACAGACTCGTCTGTCTCATTGGCATATTCCACGTCGTTCACTGTAAATGCGGGTGTTCTCGAGCCAGAAAGAGCAAATCAACGTTCAGGCCTTGGTGCAGCCGGACAATATGTTTCTCAGCGTGTACGAATACACATATCGGCATGTGCTTCACGCGCGGGTGGATGTGCACACGTCAACACCACCTGGATCAGGAGACAGTGTCGTGTTCCGACAAATTGAAAACAACGCAACCCTCACTCATCACTGCCTTCGGCGAGCGAAAATGGGATGCTTTAGTCGTGCGCTGTCAATCTCTTGCTCACTTGCGAACCGCTGGCACACCCTCGAAGCGATTCGAACGGATCACTCATTGCGTGTACCGTGTACCACCCGCCTCACCTTCCTTTGTCGTCGCGTTATGTTCCACCTCGGTTGATTGTGGTGCGGGATGGCGATGCGGCTTGGGGTTTAGATGTTGTTGTGAGTCTCTGCTGTTTGTGACAGGTGGGGAAGGGTGAGGGTGCGAGGAGAGAGGCTGGATCTTCCGTCGTGATCAAGATGGTTGAACCGATCGTCAGTGTGTCCCGTCGTCCAAATGCCTCGTTGAACCGACATCGGGAAGAATAGCGGAACTGTCCGTTTTGCCCCGAGGTCGTTGAAGCGAGCCAGCCAGACGTCGACGACTTTCGATTGTGGGCCATACCCATCTGAACGGTCCACATTGTGCAATTACCATTCACAGCTGGAAGACGCAGGAAATCGGTCCAAGCTTCAAGCCCGTCGGCCCTTGCCGTGAAAGTGACTTGATGATCTCAGACTATCCGGACAACAGACAAGGCGGGGGTGTTTGGTCCCCGGATTATCGCCTCACTTTAGCTAGGCCACGTAAAACGTCTGCCGCACTCGCCAAACTATTTGCTACCTTGGAGTATCGCCTGATCTCGTCAAACATGAAAATAACACCTGCGTGAAGGGTCCGTCTGTCCGGAGAATCATTCCACGTTCTCTGCGTGTCGTCTGACGTCTCAAACGTCTGGCGCATCGTACCTTCGGAAAAACCAATGTGCCGACCTTAGCAACTTCTGGGCCGCAACTTCTCTAGAGGAGTCGCGCTGCGCTAGCTCCGTATCGACACGTGAATGCCCCTCTCTGTCGTAAGGCGTCATGCTTCCGTCCCCGGGGGCAACAAGTAGAGTTGTGGCATGCCGGCGCTCGATGCCGGTAGCATTTATTGCCGGACCGAAGGTAAATTGTGTCGACGACTTTAACACCTTGTGGAGCACTCTCTGTAGACAGGCGATGAAGCGGTGGCGCCGGCGAGTACCGAGCATCGACTGTGACATCGACCGCCTTGGAAACCACAACCGCAAGGAACGGGCCGAGCGACAGTCCGATACAGTCGCGAAGACGCCGGCGCTCAGCGACCCCTTTGTAGGGAGAGCGGCGGCCCCCCTCGTACATGTAGCATAGCGTCGCCGTGGCTGGCAAACTGAGAGATATTCGTGGTCGTGGATTCGAACGAACGTTGCCCCTGCTGAAGTACAAGCATGCCGCTTAACCGGGCACGTATACGTAGCTCTATGCAAGCATCGGTTGGGTAAGCGACCCCATAGTCGAAACCAGAAATCATATGTATGTACTATTTTCACGCTACGACCACCTAACGGATGGTGAAGGTGCTTGGACTTTGTGTCGGGCGGGCGAACCCAAGAGCAGGTTCTTCGATTTTTGGTACCCAAGGACGTACCCTCATCACTACTGTACGTACCATTGACATATCGAACGCTGGCAGGGAGTGTAAGGTGCATGGGATACCACGACTCAATGCCCGGGCCAACTCGGCCCCAAGCGGAGTGTCTGCTGCTTCATTCCAGCACCCGGACACGAAGTGGTCGGGTCCTCCCCATCACCACGCAGGAGTACTTGACGCGCTGGGCCGAACTGTTAACGACTCGACATTCATTCGTTGAGGAGGCGAGCGAACGGTGATGTTTTCCGGTCAAAAGAATTCGACAGTCTGTTGTTTTGGCAGAATCATCTACATAACACATATGTCAGAGCATCATTCCATGACGGCGTTGAATTTCAGCTGGCCAGCGCAGGGGAAAGCAAGGATTAATTAGAGCTGCCGACTTGACAACCGTTGTAGCCGTTTCGTCTCCCCTTCGTGATACTCATGGCTGTATGTGACTCCGTCCATCTTACGGGTCCGGACCAAGCTGCAATCCTGGAGTGGACCCGGGATGTGACGGAACACCAGTATACTCTGCGGGCTCAGTTTTGTCGGTCCCCTACCCGTTGCACCGGACTTGCATGCACACGGTCGTCGTAAGGTAGTAGAGTAGCGCTACAAGAGCTGATCTTCATATTCATTATCGAAAGGGCGGACACATCGCGTAGAAGAGTAGAGTTCAACATCGTGTCGACCACTTGTTGGCATTGCACGGGGTTGACGTCGTCCGACTTCAAGCCCATAGTCCAATGCCGATTGAAACGCAGGTGCAAAGAGCTACGGTGACAACGTCGATTTACGGTTTGCTTCAAATTCACAGCATCTCACTTCACTCCTATGCATGCTCTACAACCCAAACGGCACGCTGCGGGACGACGAACCATCCATTGACCACAGAACTTCGTCTGCAACGCCCGACCTACAAACCTAACCTGCTCTACAGCAGCAGCACTGTCTACGCGCAAGCCAACGCCACATCGCGGAAGATTCTCATTTTTGAAACTATGACCACACACGGCGCCTGCCTCCAACCCCCACGTTCGGCACAAACGAGCAACGTTGTGCTACACATGTATTGCATACGTGAATGGTACCGATCCCTTCGACGGTTTGCTCCGAATCAACGACGGGTAGCACCTGCCCTGCAGGACACGACAGCCAGAACACAACGGAACCACCACCGGACATACGAAGTCTAAAAGCGCCCATGGTCGACCACGTGACGTTGTATGCATACTCTACGCTGCCCCGACAGGCTGTAACACCACAAGTAATTGAAGCACTTTTCCGCTCCCCTCTTCGCCTTAGGCCTTGGAGACCACAACAACCGCCACCGGGTTTTGCCAGCCGTAGTCTTTGGAGAGATCTCCAACGCCTTGGAAACCTCGGTGCACGTGGATGAAGCCCTCTGAGTTTCTGCCGTGACGTTCACGGGCGTCCCTGGTGCCCTCGGGGCATGCCCGGCCCGGCATGCACGTACACTTCTCGTTGTTCGTCTCGGAACCTTTGGGAGGGGGCAGGGCGACAAAGGTGTCGTGACTGGGGTCTCCGGTTTGGTCTCACTTCGTGTGCTCGAGCTTTTCTACCAGTAGTGGGCAATTCTTGTGTTTATTGGGTCTCATTACACTGTATTAGCGAGAGGGGATCTCGACTGCTTCTCCCTGGGGTGGAGAACCGATGCAAGCTCCCCAGAGAATACACTCACTAGCCCGGATCGGGACGTGTTGGTAACCACAGCACGACAAGGGACATGCGGTCCAGGGTCCACGTGTGACACGTACACGCAGACTGTGGCGTGAACACACAACACGTGATGTGAACACACAACAACATCAGACAGGTATGTGAACGTTTGGCAGAGGAACAGACGCTGTAGGTGTTGCAACTGTGGGAAATTTTGCTTGGCGAGAGCGACAGCATCATGGCCGTGTCGCGTGAGCTTTCGACAAGAGCTCATGCTTCCGATTCACGTGCGCGATGACTTGGTTGCAACTGCGTGTGAAACTTTCCTGTTTCTTACCGGCATCAAAGGCGGGGGGAAAGTGCTTGGACGGGCAACTACCCGTGGGGAATTTGGAACCAGCAATTCCCATGAAGGCGTCGTTGGTGTTGTCTGCGCAAAGTTCACAAGACAGTTGCGACGATCGGAACGTGGGTTGTGTTGTTGAACAGATTCGTCGAACACAGGTTTGAGCACACACACCATTTCGCAGAACAAGGACGGGGGGAGGGACGCACAGTATTGACACGCGATTGCGTCAATGAGGTCGGCGCGATCCCCGGGAATGGTGAAGGGTACCTATGTTGTAGACTCGACTCATCACGCGGGGTGAGGCGGTGTTCGGTCAGGTTTGACGAAAATGGTAGGTCGAACCACAGGTCAAACGTTCTGAAGGGGCACCGTGCAACTGAAATCCACGAGTCACTTCTGAGAAAGGCCACATTCCACCGGGCAGCCCCTTCCAAGATCGGCGTGTTGCACCTCATTCGCAACATTCACACGCCCCCAGGTTTTTCATGTGGATCGAAGTTCACTTTCCTGAATCGACTTATCGATGGGTACCTGCGTCGTCTTGTGTTCCGAAAACTCACCGAGCTTGGCCACCACCGAGTAGACGGGGTCCTTGCACTTGTTCGCGTCAAATTGGATTTTGCCCTCCCATGTCTTCCCGGGAAAGATTAAACCCTTGCTCTCGGGCGCGGCAAAGCCACAGAAGCCGCGCTCGTGTGTTGCGATGTTCTGTGCGTGCATCGCCCGCCGTTTTGAGAGGGGCGTACAAACGGTGGAGCGTGTATGGGTGTTGCGATTTGTAGCGGGAACAGCGGTATTGAGGTGTTCGAGTAGCTCCGGTGACAACACCATGCCGTGCTCCGTATTGAGTCCGGCCCGAGCAAGAACACGGGGACAAATCTCGATGGACACTGGACGTTGAAAGTTTGGCAGAATGACAGGTAGGTACACATGTGAGAGGGAGGACCACCTGCTTACCTAGACTGCCACGGCAATTGGCTGTTGGCGTGACCCGATGAATCCCTTGTCAAACCAAACCAGCGGCATACCTGTACATTCCCGCTTAAGCCCTCTTCTGCCAGCATGCTGATTGCGTTTCTCGCCTTCGCGCCCTCGGAGAAAAGGGGTCGACTACCCTGGTGAGCAAGAGGGAGAACGGGTACGAGAGACGAAATTGGTTATCGCGCCGTCGCAGGGGCTTTCACGTGAAGTATTCATGGCTCGTTGGCAGGAGGTCGGGGCAACCTATTCCAAGCCCGCCCAAAATGTTCTCCCCACACAATCACCGGACTGGTCGGGGATTGCCTCGAGCCAGGTACATGGTGTTCAGGACCCGGGCACCTACCTTCTCATGCGCCACGATGATGGTGGCCGAGAAGTCCTGCTTGAAAGTCAAGTTCGTCACGCGAACCTGCACGACGTTGTTGGTTGGTGTGTGGAGAGGGCGCGGCGGATAAGAACGTTAGCTGGGTACAGACATCGTCGTGGGAGGTGCTAACGTGACCAAGCTACAGGTTACGGGGATAGCTACCTGCGCCGCCATCGACAGCGCTTGTTCAAGGCACTTTGCTTTGCCTCTAGCTGAAATAATCTCTGGACTGGGGGGACTGTACCATGTCTCGGCTCTCTTGAGTAGCTCCACATTCACTGATTGGCCTCCTCTTCCTTCCTCACACACAACACGACCATGACAGCTCGCCTTGTATGTCTGCATGCGGCTGCCTCTCGTCTTGCTACCGCTGGCGAGGGAGAGCATTGATGCCAAAGCGAGACCGAACGCGAACTTGACCATCTTCCTCTTGACTGTTGTAGGTGTGATACGGTCGGCAGAATGAAGGAACAAAGGGAACAAGGCGAAGACAGGTGAGTGAGGCAGGCGGCGGGGACGGACTCGCCTGTCTCAAATTGGCATGTTCCACGCCGTTCACTGTATGTATACAGGTCTTGTCGAGCCAGAAAGCACCAACCAACGTTCAGCCCTTCGTTCAGCCGAACAATACGTTCTTCAGCGTGTACATTCATCGGCATACGTCCCGCGAGCTGACGGATGTTCACGTCAACACCACCTGGATGAGCCAGTATTGTGCTCTGACAGGTCGGCAACAACGCAACCCTCACTCATTGCCTTGGGCGAACGAAAATGGGATACTTCTGTCTTGTATGTCAATCTCTTGCTCACTTGCGAACCACACCCTGGAAGCGATTCGAACGGATTGTTCATTGTGTGTACCGTGCAGCACCCGCCTCACCTTTTTTGTCGTCGCGTGATGTTCCACCTGAGTTGATGCTGGTGTGGGATGGCGATGCGGCTTGGGGGTTGAGATGTGGTTGTGAGTCTCTGTTGTTTGTGACAGGTGGGAAAGGGTGAGGGTTCGAGGAGAGAGGCTGGATCTTTCGTCGTGATCAAGACGGTTGAACCGATCATAAGTGTGTCCCGTCGTCCAAATGCCTCGTTGAACCGACATCGGGAAGAATAGCGGAACTGTCCGTTTTGCCTCCCGTTGAAGCGAACCCACCACGACGTCGTCGTCGGGTTTTGATGGTGAACCATACCCGCCTGATCGGTCCTACGGGCAATCATGTTCTCCATATACTCAAAGGATGGTCGTCGTGACGTGATACATTTCTTGTTGTATTTACTGTAGACTACATACAGTAGTATGGAAAAAAAAAAAAGGCTCGATTTTTGTATTTCTACAGCAGTATGGACCAGACGCCGACTGTACATAGAAGTCGTACGAGTGTCAACTTAGTTGTGCTGTCCCACGGCATCTTCCACGCACTTCTGCCAGTGCTGGTTTGTTGATTGGAGTCTTGTAGGTCGAGATACAGCAGTGGGATTCTCGGGTTGTGGAGGGTCTGCCTGCAACCACAGCAAAACAAATTGCATGCATAGCTCGATAACTGCTGCTGTGTTTTTTCTAGACTATAGCAGTATGGACTAGACGCCGAACGACGTCCGGGTACTATGGCAACGACCTAACTGGATGAGATACTTCCTGCCACGGCGAACCATCCTACAATGCGTGTGTCATGCAGCTGCCACATGTGTAGACGACAGGTACACGCAGAGCTCTCGCCATGCTGTCGTTACCGCGCAGGAGGACCCCTCGGAGATCTTCCGCATCGTACCACAAACTATAGCAATGAATTCATAGCGTCAGAAAGTACCTTATTTTTCGCGACATGGTTGCATTTTTCTTTGCCACTGCCGAGAAGACCGCTGGATCTTTACGCAGTCCACCTTTCGCCTTTCGCATTTGTCATTGTACACCGAGCGACGCAGGACGGGTCGACCTTCATCATGCCCACCTTCGACTTTCGTATCGACCAGACGCCGACTGTACATTGTGGAGTTAGCTGTGTTGTGACGGCATCTTCCACGCACCGACTCCTCCTATCCGTCCGTGCTGGTGTGTCGATGGGAGTCTTGTACGTCGGGATACAGCAGTGAAATTCTCGGGTTCTTTATGGAAGCAAGTTTGCTTGCAACAACGAGAGATGGTTTCGTTGTGTCATACCATTATATTAAGAAAAAAAAAAAAAAATGCGTGCATGGTGCATGCATATTATATATATTGGTGTTTAATAAATGGTGTTTAATGTAAAAAAAAATAGGTTTGCCGTTGCGATTGCCATCGTCGCTTAAGTGTTTGTCTCTTCAAAACTTCTTGGCCGGCCTTCAAACTTCTTGTTGATAAGTCTCCGCGTTTCCTTCTCCGCGCATGAGTCATATATATGCAGTTAGTTATGACCTGCGCTTTGACTTTCACGATGGGTATTTTACCCCGTCTTGCATTGATTGGCGAGTACCTGTGTTAAGGAGGACCCGATTCGCAGGGTATCCGTCAATTGACTTTTACCAGAATCGGTACACCGTCGCCCATGGCGTCAGCGGCAGGATACTGGTTCGAATCTCCTTGGGTGCACGTTTTTTCTCCTGACTTGGACATTTTCCCATGGACACCATGTGTGTCAGTCCTGAGAACACCTCTTGGAATCGATCCTATAAAGAACCTTGTGACTCTTCCATCGAATTACCCGTCCTGGCCACAAGAGGTTCCCAGTTGAGGGTAAATTCTGTGGGTGGAGAGTGTTAAGGAGAACCCGACTCGCAGGGTATCCGTCGATTGACTTTTACCAGAATCGGTACACCTTCGCACCTGCGTTATACGGAAGGATTGCGTTCAAGTCCGACTTTATCCCCCTTGCGTTTCCTCCCCCTATCCTTCTTTGCGTATCACATGTGTAGTGTGTGATTCCTCGTCGTCGACCTCCTCGATACTTGTGGATTACCTGTTGGAAATTCTGGGAATCCCTTCATTCCGAGAGAGCCGTGGGTCGGCATTCGGCCTTTCATTTCTTGTACGCAATGTTTTTCTCTTGAAGTTTTGACGTTGCGCTCGCCATCGTCGCTCAAGTGTTTGTGTTTTGAAACCTTCTTGGCCGGCCTTCAAACTTCTTGTTGAGAAGTTTCCGTGTTACTTCTCCGCGCCTTAGTCATATGCAGTTATGACCTGCGCTTTAACTTTCACGATGGGTATTTTACCTCCTCCCCGTCTTGCATTGGTGAGTTCCACGGCGCAAACGTCAACGTCTCTTTTTCTTTTTATTCCCTTCGCACTCCTTTCTTGCGGCGGATTTTCACACCGACTTCGAACGTGGGGTGCAATTTCCTATCTTCGTGCCTTCCTCGTCGGCCTTCTCCATCGTTACGTACATAATGTATACCTCCATTTTTCGGCTTTTCGACTACCGATAGACAAGACTACGGAGTGGCATGTTCCTTTCACCCCCGACGGGACCGCGCGCTCGTCGAGTGCGGGAATTCTTCACCACTTCCTTGCCTCTCCCAACACCGTCCCTTCTTCCCACCCCTACAAATCCTGTCCCCTCTTCTTCTTTCCTTCCTGCCGGACACTCGCCACCATCCGTCCTGGATGTTGGCCCCCAGCCCTATTGGGGAGCGGGGGGCCAATCCTTAACCCTAGTTATCTTTCACAGCTAGAATACCCCGGCTAGTCGTCCAAACCCCGCTGCCGCCTGCCGTGAAATTAACTTGACGTCCGGACGACGGACCAGCGGTCGCGGGGGGTCCGGTCCGGTGTGTTGACCCACCGAAGCTAAGCCATGTGTAGACCGTCCCCCGCACTCACCAAACGTTTAGCTATCTTGGAGTGTCGCCCGAAGGATTCCATCCGTCGGATGAATCGTTCCACGTTCCCTGAGTATCGTCTGGCGTCCAAAACGGCTGACGCATCTCGCTTTCGCACGAAGTCAATGTGGTGACCATACCGACTTCTCTAGAGGAGTCGCGCTACATCAGCTCCATATGGATACGTGAATGTCCCTCCCTGTCGCAAGGCCCTTCCCCGGGCGCAAGCAGTAGAGCTGTGGCGTGCCGGTTATTTTGTACCAAGGCAAAATTTCTCGGAAAAATCCAGGAACGTAGAAACGGTTCTCGCAATGTTTCCGGAGTAGCAGTACCGTTTGCATCTACACGCCGGTAGGAACCGACGGAGAAGATGATGGCAGACAGAGCGCGCACCCGCCTACCGGGTTCACTCTGTTTCCTGCCCGCAACAACCGAAAAAATGAAGAAAGTTATGAAGAAGTTACACCATAGTTTTCTCAACTCTCTGACTGACACATCAAGTCGGTCCGCAGACTAACCTCTGCAGTGCTCACTCTGCACAGTCGTCACACTACGGTGACATCGTCGCTTGTCTCGTTCGTGTACGCATCTCTTGGTTTTCTGATCGCTGACTGTGGTGGACAGCAGCAGCAGCAGCAGCAGCAGTACACCTGCTATCAGACAGACCAGTTTTGAGCGTGCGAGAGACAACACAATTTTTCATCGTAGTGATTGGGACTTGTTCACGACTATCGCGTCTCGACAGACCCTTGACCTCTGATACCATCTCAGATTCGCACAAACTGATTCTCTCGACACGCACTCGTGCCTCCACCCCATGTACATATCACTCAAGGAATACCAACGCTGTGTGCGCGATTGCCCCAAGTACTGGCGTATCCCCCAAGACAACGACATACTCATACAGCAGCTATTCCCAAAGCTCTGAGGACAAACAAGCCAGTGGCTAACACGCTTAAAAAAGTCATGCCTAGCGTAGGACGTCGGGCACCGCCATTACACACAATAAACGTAGAATGCAGTCGAAGAACGGCAATGTATTCCAAGACCGAGGCGGCGGGAAAAAATGCAGGCCGCCTCCCAAATACCACTTTAGGCCGATCGGGTTTTCCCGGCCAACGTGTGCGAGGAGACAATGCACTCGTCGTGCACAGCATTGCCATTTCACCCCATACGCATCATCTTCTTGATCGACGCTCACACACCCGTCACCCGCACCACCGCATCCCTAACTCTTCAGTCTTCACTCTCTGTCTACGGCATCAACACATGTCTCACGAAAAAATAGAGTTGGGACGGGGTCGAGGTTAAAACTATTTTGTCTGCCATCTCCCTTCCACAACCGCAATATCGCCTCCTACCTTTGCCGGAAACCGTTGTAATTTCTGCCGCCTGACCTTAACGTTATCGTTTAATTCACCACTGTGATTATTCCCCCCGCGGCTCACACCTTAAACCCCACAAGCAAGACGGCATGGTCACAAGAACACCGTCTCTCCCAAAAAAGCCCTTGGCTCGTCCCCTTTTCACACCCACCCGTTCGTTTGAGTAGACCCCTTCGAATCTTCCCGGTCTCACACGCAACAGTGACAAAAAAAAGTGCGCCCAACCTGGCCGCCGTCAACACTACACCATTTTGTACCTCGCGTTCTTCGTAGCGGAAAACAGCGAGGTATCGGCAATCCCCTTGTCCCTTCACGACAACGCCGACCACGGTTCCAAACCTCTAAGGCATAGTGCGGCAATCACGAGTCGTGTAGAAATTCTGTCTGGACCGGCGTGAAAAGTGGCGGGGGCCGACATACGCAGCAGGGTTGGACCGGCTGCACGAACGCCTAAGAAACAACCTTTTTCACACCATCATCGAGCGTATTCCTCGGGCCGGCTCCTTCTTGATACAATGACGAAAAATCGAACCAACCATACCTATCGCCAACGCATTTCACTCGGAATAAATTGTATCTGCCGTCGCTAGTGATAAACTATCGCACGCCCCGCAGAATCATCTCTCTCTTGAAACCAGGAAACAACACGATGACGAGAGTAAATACACCACACCATGAGGGAAATACTTCATAAAAATATCGTTGTTTTCGCCACAAGTGCGTCCTAAATTCTACCTACTCTAATGAGCGGTACAAAACACAAGAGCTTCCCGCCAACCGCATACGTATGTCACGCGCGGATCGAACGACGCTTTGGCACTCCACCCCCCCCCAACCCAACAACCGCAGATCCCGCGGCGGAGGCGGACGTTGCCGTTTCGGGGGGGGCACTCTCTAGCTCCTGCGCCTGCCTGGAGAGGGCCAGCTTGAAGAAGTCGTTCATGCACAGGACCGCTGGCCTAGTCGATTCGAAAGACTCTAGCTTCTTGAACAGCACTACCGTGCTGCGCCGCGTGCTGCATCAGGGATAAAAAATGACGGGGGAACGGGTTTAACGAGGCGTTTACATCTGTGTCATCAAAGTAGCTCGGTATCTCGCGCCCTTGCTGAACATACCGTAGCAGCACCAGTGGGGCGGCGGTAGCTGCCGAAGGCAGACGTTTTTTAGCAACGGAGGAACACACGGCAGCGAATATATATGCTAGGCATTTTTAATAGCAAAAGCCCTAACGACGCGTACATTTGGAGTTTAGTGCGATTTGGAATTTTGTTGTCCAAATTTAATTTTTTTTTGTGTTTTTTCGCCCTCAATCACCCAATACGGTTTTTTGGCGCATGACCATACATATATGATGAGACCATTGCCCGCCCGTACAGCATGCTTCCGTCGAGCTTATTGGCGAAATGACATTGAGGCACGTCCGTAACGACGCAATAAACTTGACAATTCAACTTTCTTTCGTGTTCCCGGTGTTGTGCTTCATCCCTGTTTGACCTCATACTGCAGACGTACGATCTCGCACGCTAGCACCCGTCGCCCAAATTATGGGATGCTACCTGCTGTTGCGGGTTGCATGCCATCACCTGCTGCCAAGTGGAAATCAAAAATCAACCAATCAACCAATATTTCCCGCAACGTAATTGGTTCTCGCGAAACGATCGTAGTTCCACCGCAAACCGCCCACTACTCGTCTATCGTGAAACGACAACAGTTGCACCGCGTCACACGATTGATGTCGCCTTCCCTCCTCTCGTTAACTTGTGGTGTACCTTTCGGCATGCCTCCCTCACAAACATGATTCTCCAAGAGTTCAAATCGACAGACGCCGTGAATTAGTTACGGCTTACATGCCGCGCAGGAGGAATGCCACTAAGCCTGCTCGGCGAATCGCGACGGCTTCCCACGCTCAGAGGACGATACCGCCCACAGGTTTACTTTCAAACCGATCTACATATATGCATACGCCAAGACGGTTGTGTGATCCCGGTGGCCGTCCCGCCAAAGGTGCGGGCGGCCGCGATACCCTACTATAGTCTAATCATGAACAGGAAACATGAACCAGAGGCAAACCTTTGTGTAGCCCCGGCCGGTGCAGCACAAAAACGCCGAAAGGTGCAAGAAAAAAATAAATAAATAAATAAAATAAAATAACTCGACGTCCAGAGAAAAAAGGAATGGCACGCATTCACACAAACGCAGCTCGCGGGGTCCCAGATCATGGCTGCCTTCAGAAACATTTTCAGCTTTCCAGCTGGATATGACTGACGTATTTTCATTGGCCAGCCGGTTAGCGCGGTCGATCCAAGATCTAAAACACACGCACGCAGTCAGTGCACGTACCTGGCACTTCGAGAGAGTAGCCCAAGAGCGAGCAGCCCAGCTCCTCGTTTCGACTCCGGTAACAATCCTAGCAACACCTGCAGCTCGGCTTCCGTGTCCAGGCACTCGGAGAGCAGCTCAAAGGCCTGCCAAGGAACGGCCATTGTTTGGCGGCGTGTCAGGCGTTGATTGTATTAGATACAAAAGCGGGTGGTACAGGGGATAGTGGCACATGGGAAGCAGGCCACGAGCTCTACAGGTACAGACAGATGGACGGGATTGCACCGGCGAGAAACTAATTTTCATCGCCATCGCTTTTCCATATGCCTCTTTTCTGCTTACCTTCGCCGCAACCTCTTCGCCGACAAACTTCTCCAGCTGAATCCGACGGATGCAGTTCCTCAGCTCAACCCCTCGGCCGCAAGCCGCCGCCCCGCCCCCCGGCCCCCGGCACCGTGCCCACGGGTCCACGCCTCTTTCGGAGATGCCTGCGGATATTCTGAGACGTCGTAACCGGCCTTCGTTCGCGATCATCGTCTGCCATGCACGGCACAGTCATCGCCGCCGCCGTGACACGACGAGACGAGAAACAGCGGTAAAAAGAAGGAAGCAGGCGTTAGGTAGACAGCAGTGGGATGGCGCGTTGGAGTGTCGCGTAGCGCAAGATCGAAGCACGTACACGGTGATCCTGGCGGGCAGCTACGTAGGGGACACGAGGAGAAAGTGAGACGAGGAAATAACGTATCCTTTGTAGTCGTCCAGAAGAACAACATCGTCAAAGCGGAGACCCTGGCGTGGTATCAACAAGTCTCTCTTGGCGCGGGCAGTGTCAACCGAGTTCCTGCCCTGCTCCAGATTCTCCCACAAGGCCGTGTCCAGCAAACACGCACCCTCGGCCAATTAATTCTCCATAGCTTGGTAGGTCATCCGCAACTAACCTAACAACTCCCGAGCAGTGTATCATGAGAATACGAGTGCACTCCTCCGCCGTACATGCGACCAACCACGTTAAAACCCCCTCGACACGGCATAAGTTACATGATACACGGTGTCCCCCTCAAAAGTAGTGCGTGAGTGCGCCATGAGGAGAAAAAAAAACACCAGCCAAGAAAACCAACAACCCCGACACCCGGACCCATTCTCGGCGAACACGCCTCCCTGCACCCTGCATACCTTGTCAAGGGACAAAGACGTGAGACGCTCGTGCAGACCGGCGTGTTGATCAAGCACCAGATCCACGAGCCCCTGTTGGCAGAGCGCGTTCGCATAGAGCAAAGAAATGCCGGCACCGGTGATGATGGTTATCACGATGGGGGCAACGGTCCAGTGGAAGACGAACGCGATGAAATATATCCCTCATGTCAAATGTTGAGACAAGCGCGATCATCTTGGTTGGTCTGTACACAATTCTTCGACATCGCTGGAGCCGTTCCCGTCATAGACAGTTACCATCACGCCTCATTGGAAACCCCGTGATACAAAGAAGCACATGTCCATGAGGTGGAAAGACACGAAGAGGATACAACCATCAGCTACACACAATGAACACAGTAGACTACGCTGTTGGTCCCACAGCAAAGGGGTGGGGGAAACAAGGATTGCCATGAGAAAGAGTGTGTCGTCGACATGCTGCAACCAAAGAAACTCCCACGCGCGCGTGCATGCCGTACGCCGTCTTGCCTGCGTGTAGTCGTGAAACTCGCAGCGCGCCCATGACTCCCCCTTCCCTCCCTTAACGCCGGCTAGGAGCTTTGTCGCGAAGTTCGCATCTCCTTGGAAGAAGAGGCCGGCATCCTTTCCGCCCGTCTTGCTCTTATCCTCCCCGTTGGTGTTGGTCATGCTGCCCCCGACCCCGCCGGACTTCACGCGGTGTAGCCTGCAAATCATCGTTAGGTCACGTACAAGAATATTGGCGGAGAATGAGGGGGATGAGAATGTGTGAACCGAACCCCTCCCACGGAAGTGATTTTCAGCAAGAGACAAAAGAAGGACACGTGAGAGACAAGAGAGGGGAAATAGAGGGGAAAGAACGAACGGAGGGAAAACAGACAGCCAAGACAGCCAAGACAGACAGACAGACAGACAGACAGGCAGGCAGACGGGCAGGCAGACAGACACAGAACGCCAAAACTCAACCAACACCACACCAGCAAGAACCTCCTTGACCTGATTCCAGCCAAAAAAATAAAAACTCACCCACCACCCCCGTCTGAAAACATCTCCTCTGTAGTGATCACGGTCCCGCTACCGTTCGGCAAATCCAGCTGGCAAAGCACGTCCCACCACTCAGGGTGCGTCTCGAACATGGGGTTCGTCACACCCGCCACGTAGCTGGTCGTCTCGAGAAAGCTCAGGTCTGAGAGGCTAGCGTAAGGGTACGCTCGGTGCAAGATTCCCTGCTCGCGTGCAAACCATGATACGTGGGGTATGCATAGGGACGGCGGTCGCCGCGCAATAAAGGTAGAAGAGGTGTGGTACGCTTTTGAGTCGGCGGGGGACCGAGTCGATGATCAGCGGAGGAACAGGCAGCGAACCGGCAAAAAGGTGTGTGTAGACGTCGCAGCAGAACGCCACGTGTCAAGACAGTTCCTCAATCGTCCTTCAGGAGTTTGTGAGAAAAGAAGGGACACGAACAACAAAGCCTTTTTCTCTCGTTCTCAAACATAATATCTCTCTCCCTCTCCCTCTCCCTCTCCCTCTCCCTCTCCCTATCCTGCCCACCTGTATTGGAGGGCTGACGAGCGCGCAGGCGGCGAGAACGATCTTGCAGACGTCGCCGGCGGCGTGATTGTACCCGACGAAGATAACACGCCTTCCCGTCAAGACGGCGTTGTAGATGGCCATCACGTTCTGGAGCCCGTTCCCAAGTGTTGACACCAACCACAGAGAGACAACGACAACAAACACAACAGCAGCATCACCACCACCAGCTGATTTCGAAGAACGGGCGTGTGAAAAACAGGGCCTACCGCTGTGCAAGGAGTCCTCCCCGCGTTCCGGGGGCTTGACTTGTCGCAGAATCACATGCAACCTGGACAAAAGTGACAGCAGTCCCACTCACACTACCGCTACCACTGCCAACGACATCGAGAACATCAACAACAACGCCGACAGAGTAACAGCAACAAGAACACCAACGCCAACAAAAACAACACAAAATGTCTAAAAAACACGACAGCGCCACAAAAGGCACACATTGCACACCTGCCCGAAGAGGTTGACAAGCAGCGTCACGGACGGGCTGAGAGTCTCGTCGGGGAACGCGTAGAGGGGAATAGAGGCCTGCACCGTGCCCCCGCAGTACTTGAAGCTCATCATGTACGTCCACGTAGCGGCAAGGTGCTCGACAGGCACAGTCCCCATGTGCTTGTCCGCGACCCCTCTGTCACACAACCATCGCAAACACACGCAAGTTGGGGAATCGGAAATCTCACGTCCAGGGCACGCAGCGCAGGCTTGCCGACTTCCAAAAATGGGAAAAGCTGGACGGGGGGCACTTGAAAGGGGGCATGGGCACGGGTTTGCCAGACTGGCGGCACCTGAAAAATATATATTACATGCCAAAGAAATCCTGCCCCGATATCGATAGCACAAATACCGCATAGGGCATAAGATACACAGATCGATTAACCACTGTTCCCCAGGATTGGGTCGCGGGGCCCCGTGTTTATTTTTGTTCCATCACTTAGCGCTAAGGGCAGCTCTGCCGGGTATGCGCTCCAATCCGGGGCCACACAGAAGGGTCCCTCTCCTACCCACCCCTCCTGCGGCGCTTGCCTTGTACTGCAATATTATCTCCAGAAGAAGAGTGCAGCACTCTCTTCCCGCGTGCGGTACTCCACACGACTTACCTTCGCATCAACGCCCGTTCCCAAGGCGTCGGTCGCGGAGCCCCCGCGAGATGCGCGGAGTTGAGCGCCTCGAACAGCGATTCCAACACCTCGGGGACCTGCCTCTGGTAGTATTGCTCGAGAGCGATCATGAGCATCGGCCGGAAAACCTACAAGTGCATTGATCACACGTGGGACCAGAGGAAACAAAAGCAGTGACGGAGTGATGTGACAGGAATTTTTACTGGTCGTGGCGTTGATTCGCGCATGGTCCGAACGGAGCAGGGTGCCAGGAAACGCCAGATACACTCAGAAAGTGGTGACGTCGGGTCGACCACATCAAGATCCTGAATGGCCCTCGCCCTTGCACTCAATCAACACCGCGGTTCTCATTGGCACGTGGTTTTCGGCTTGGCCGTTTCGCACGCTATAAGGGTGGAGCCTACAACAGATACTAGTGGAACGAGAGCGAAGAGAACCGCAGGACCCACCTCAATATAGTTATACCGCGAGCAAATGCACATGGCCTTAACCACGGCGCCTCGCCGGACCGTAGGGTCGTCCTGTTTTCTAACCAGGTTGATGCAGTGCAGGAAGCTCCGACCCTCCTCTCCCTCTCCCTCCCCCTCGCCACCCCTAGCTAATCGGGGCTCGTACGATTTGTCCCCTACCGCATCTATGCCTCCGGCGGAGCTCCGCCCCTGCAACATGAGTCCGGCGTCGGGTGAACGCAAAACAGCCATTGGTTGTTACTATTGTTGATGAAGTTGCTGCGGCTCGTTCTACAGTAACACAACGATTTCATCTTTAACCGCCATAGATAAGAATCTGGGATAAATTCATCGCAGTTTAAGCGTAATATATATTTGTTCTCTACCACTCTTAGCGAACAACCCAGGATCAACACTCAACAGAGAGAAGAGACGGCCCAGGGGGGGGGGGGGCAAGCACGAGAAGGATAGTTGTTCAAATGTAGGCCTGTGCTCCGTAGATGATCACCGAAAATCATCGGATGTGAAAAAAGTCACCGAAAACACCGAGGAATTTGAATCACCGAAAACAAAGTAGCCAATAACCGAAAACGGGAGGCGTCTCACCGATTTTGGCCGATTGCCGACGCTCGCCGATTTTCACCGAATTTTTGAAAGTTCTATTTTTAGGAGCTCCGTGGGTACAGTTCGTAGCCCGAAACCCTATGAGAGAACCCCTTCTCAAGCCAACACCTCACCAAGCACAGCAGTAGCACCGATTACACGCAGGTTTTCAGGTTCTCAGTAGGCGGTCGCCAAAACCACCGAATTTGAGAAAAGTCACCGAAAAACTGAGGAACTTGAATCACCGAAAAAAAAGTTGCCGATCACCGAAAACGGGGGGCGCCTCACCGAAAATGCCCGAAAGTGCTTTTCGGCAGCTCGCTTGTATACTTTTTCATCGCCGATTTTCACCGAAAAACGTTTGGAGGCAGCTAAAACAATCACAGTTTTTTTATTGGCAATCGGACAAAAAATCACCGAAAAAAAAAAAAGTCACCTACGGAGGACAGGCCTATTCAAATTCTACCGCCGCCTTCGTTTTGTTTGTTGTCTGCAGTACCAAGTCACAGGCCAGCCGAGTAGCGCAGGCAGGCGATGCACACAAAAGAAAATAGACAGAAAAACAGACAAGAAAATATTCCGCCGCTGCATGAATCTTTCGATGAGAAAAAAAAAAAAAAGTCAGCAACAAAGAGAGACGACCCTACCGCCCACCTTCTCCGCTGAACCTGCTGGCTCATCGCAGTCGAAGTAAGCCGGCCAATCCTCATCGAGCGCAGTCTTGTCGCGGTTGAGAAACATGACAGTCCAGTCGAGAGCGTGGTTGTGAGCGCCCTCCGGAAGCATGTGCTCCGCGAACCAGTCGTCCGATACTCCCGGCACCGAGCTGGGGTAGGCATGTCTCACGGTGCTAAGGCCGATTCGTTGGATGTTGTTGTTGTTGCCCGTATGCATAAAGGAAACAAGGATAAAAAAGGGGTGGCGGGGGGGGGGATATCACTTTCTGCATGTCGCTCGGAGGCCAATATCTATGCGCACGGGTGTATGTCATGCACTATTGATGTGAAGACAACAACAACAATAATACAGCAGTGCTGCCCTGTCATTGGCATACTTTTTCCTCCGGCTCTTTCTCTCTTGTGTGTGGTTGCGCTTGTTGTTTTGTACAGGTGAAAACGCAAAAACCAGTACAGTAGAGGTCCCTGTTTAAGGCCGCAAATTTAAGGCCGGTGGCCCTTTTTAAGGCCGGTGAAATCGTCTGTCACACGTGCCTTCCTTTTTAAGGCCGCACAGGCCTTAAACAGGCATAGTCCCTATTTAAGGCCGATTAGGGCGTCCGCGCACCCTATATGAGGCCGGTTTTGGTGTGACGCACCCAGTTCTTCGGCAGCATTATTCAAGCCGCAACACAACCACTCCAGAGATCTACACAACAGCAATACCTAGCGTACCCCTACCGACCCAACCAGTAGGGGCACACATGCCTTGTGCGGCTGGTGAGCTGTGCCAACTGCCAGACCAGACGCCAGTAGCCCCTCACGGCCACCAATGCCACGGAGGGTGTGGCGGCAGACTGCACGGACTGTGTGGGGGACAAGACCACGATGCGGAGTACGAAACCGCTCGCATCTGCTTTGCATGCATTGCCTCCAAGCAAAAGGGTAGTAATGCCTCGACAGCTGGCAAGGGCAAGCGCAAAGGGTCAGCCACGGAGAGCGGACCCACGGCAAGACAAAAAAAAACGAAACCAGCCAACCACCCGGACAAGACTGGTTCGCGCACGCGGATGGACATCGGCACCAAGATGGAGATCCTCCGTCTGCTGGACAAGGGCACGCGGACGCAGAAGTCGATCGCAGAGCAGTTCAACTGCGGGGAGCGCACGGTGCGTACCGTCAAGGCCGAGCGGGCGAAGATAGAGAATCAGGCCGCCAAAACTCGCAGCAGCGCCACCACCAGGAAGAACCTTCGGGCGGGGGATTTCCCAGAGATATGCTCCTGTTGTTTTTCTTTTTTCAGCCTGCCGTTTGTACCACTCGGTACATATCGCACTTTCAAGAAAAATCGCAGTGCCTGATGTGTGCAAATAGCGACCCCCCCCAAAGCCCCCCCCCCCTCGGACAGAGAAGAACAGAATCTAAGGAAAGAATCCAAGGATAAGGAGGGTCTAGAAGTGTACGGAATGTTGAAAGAAGGAATAGGGTTCAAGGATTACCTACATGGACCAATAGATGCAGGGACAAAGCTTAAGGTCAAATTCAGGACCGGGGACATAGGCCTTCGCGAACGTCGACGAAGACATAGGACGGTAGACGACGAAGACGACAAGTTCAAATGCGATTGCGGCTTCGAATGCGAAGACAGTGTTCATGTAGTCGCGGAATGTCCGTGGTACGAAAAGGAGAGGGAAGTGTACATGACTGAGCTGGGAAGAATACAAGTGACATACAGGGAGATGTTTGAGGCATGGAATAGAGAGGAGAGGACGGTAGCGGTACTGGGGAGTAGAAAGTGGTTTGAAAAGGCGGGAAGGGACATCGGTAGGATAGACAAACTAGTGAAGACATTTTTGAGCCACCTTTGGCAAAGTAGGAAGGAACGATTGGCCATCGGTGATCGGTCCTGTGGGAACAATGCTTCGTCCTCTCGAGGACGCGTGGTCAATGGTCTAACCGCTAAGGCATGCAAAACATAAGAGTACGCCCCCCCCCCTCGGTGTTTGCCATCGGGGTTGGGTTTTCGTCGCTTGGCAACGACGTTGTAAAACAATCCGCCCCCCCCGGTGTCCCCCCCGGTGTTTGCCATCGGGGTTTGGGTTTTCGTCGCTTGGCAACGACGTTGTAAAACAAGCCCCCCACTCGGTGTTTGCCATCGGGATTGGGTTTTCGTCGCTTGGCAACGACGTTGTAAAACAAGCCAAGCCAATTCACTTCGTGAACTCGACAACCAGGTTACCGTTTTTTTTTTTTTACCTCGTTTTTTTTTTTGGCGGTAACCATAATGGTGGTCGAGTAGATCATGTTGTGCGGGGTCGAGAACCCTCACTCCGCGCAACGGGGGATGATCGCACCACGTTGTGTTAAAATGGTCAAGCTTCCTCGAGGCAGTTACACAGTGCTTACAACTGTCTCTGGAAGTGAAAGCACCAGAAAATAAATTAAGTCATACGCAGCTGTCATCCGTACGCAAGGAAGTAAGCACAAGATGCCGAACACCCTTAGCAGGATGCAGCTCACCCTTCATGCGACTCGCCAAATACCTCACGGCGCTTTGCGCTTGGTGATGTGAGAGCCTGGTCCGGTGAGAACCCGGCGTGCTCCGTCCCGGCTTTGTAGGGATGCGAGGTCAATGGTCAAACGACTACGGCATGCACGACTATGAGTACACCCCCCCCCCCCCCCCCCCCAAAGCAGTCTCGATATGCACTGAGATTGTGCTTTGGGCGGTCAACTGCATTGGAAGCATCACGAACATTTTTCATCTGATGCCACCCACACACAACAAAAAAGGCGAACACATTTTTAAGTACATTTTTTTTCCGCTGCTCGTTTTATCTGCATGTACATTTTGGCTAGGGTCGGCAAACGTCAACCTTTCCACAAGTGTAGTCTCTGCGTGCGTGAACTTTGGTGCTGGTGCGTAACTTTGTGATATTTTTCATCCGTGAAAGCAGTACTGTTCTAACCCGCGCACACCGATTTGAACCCTGTGGTGCTTGCTGCTGACTTTGTACAGTTGGATTCTTTAGTTAGTTTTGGACCTCGTCAACAAGGCGCGGATGGCGAAGTACACCGTCACCGGCAACGTCATCCGATCGTTCGGCCGCTCTGCGAAGGCCACCCTGTTGGGCTCGGCGAAAACGACTGACTCTGTGAGGAAGAGGCTCGAGGACTTCAAGGCTGGCGACAAGTGGAGCAAGAACTTCGTGAAGCGCAACGACCTCCACAGCCACAAACTTCATGGGACGGCAGCGGAGGGGAGCGGCAACCGTGACGCCGCTTTCCATCTACAGAAGGCCAAAATGGCAATGATCGCAGCGCATGGTTCGAAGGCACCGAGGCAGACAGACATGAGGCAATTTTTGTAGACTCGATAGGCGCATGGGGGGAGGCGTCAGTTGAGTGGTTCTCCCGGGTCCGGTGTCGTGTCCGGTTTCATCCTTGTATTTTCAACTTCGTGTGCCGTTGTTCGTGTATCAGGGGGTAGAGAGGTCGGGCTGTTCGATTTTTTTGTCGACTTTGTGTTTGACGGGTAAGCATCAGTTGGTCAGTTGGCGCAACATGTTGTGCATTTTTCGATGGTTGTTGTGTTGTGCAGATCGTTGGACTTTTTGCTGTGGGCGTCCTTTCATTCTGATCAGGATTGGCAGTATTGTTGTCGACCTTCACGAGGGAGCCACTCGATGAGATACTTCGCACGTACCAAGTGAAATACATATTTTTGTGGACGTCAGCTACTACGGCAGCAAGTAATATTCGGAAACATGCAAAATCATTTTTTGTCACGACGTGTGCGGCTATATTAATCTGTATATGTATAACGTGCATCCTGCGAGCCTTCAGACACGTTGGGGCCCGCCACCTTCCCGAAAGGCTTGAGTGCAGCATCAGTATTCCTCAATAAGGCCGGTACCGGCCTTGTTGAGGAATACTCAGTCCTCTATAAGGCCGATACCGGCCTTAAACAAGACCCGTTTCCAATAAGGCCGGGTGCCCTCTTTAAGGCCGGTCATTTCGTCTATCACAGGGCGGCCTTAAACAGGGACCTCTACTGTACCATGCATGTATGGAAACATAGATACTTGTATGTACATTTTATTAGTACACAACTCCGGTACTCTGTACCACGCCAAACGTATGAAAAACATAGAGAGAAAACTGGAGTGCATTCACATGGTTGCATTCTTTTCTTTTCCGATACATGCCGGTATGCATATCGCGGGGCATATGGGGGCTGGCCTGCTGCTTCATGACACGTGGAAGCAACATAGAAGCACTGCTACCGTCAGTAGTCTGGGGGAAAATCGCATCTATTTGTTGTATGGGTGTGATGGGTAGGGTTGCGAAAAACTTTCTCTTTCATCGGCTTTTCAGCGGCAAGCTGCAACCTGCCTGCCTGTTGTCCCGCCACAAGGATGCGACCAATGCCGTGGCAGTGTGGACTGAAGACACCGCCAAATGACCCCGCACAGGCATGCGCGCCCCTAGGCTCCGCGCAAGAGGGCTTGCTTTTGCCGGTCGCCCGAAAAATTTCCGGTGCAACGTGCTCGACGGAAAAGTTTTCAGTTCACAACGAGCTGCTGACATTCGGAATACAAAAAGATAGAAAGAGATGGTTTCGTTGTGTCATATTAAGAAAAAAAAAAAAAAAGGGTTGGTGGTGGGTGCGTGGGTGCCCTCGAAAAAAAACATTTGCCAAGTCTTCACGTGCGGCTCCAGAAAAAGAAAAAGCGGGAAGTTGCTGCGCTGCAGTTTGGTCGCTGCAACAAGACGTTCGCAAAATTGTTGCAATCTCCATCATCGGTGAACGAGCTCAGCGTTTGTGGCGCAGTGCTGCTTAGTTGCCTGCGCTGCAACAGTACAAATTTTGGTTGATCCTGGTGCAAGGGACGTAATGAAGACATATCAACATATCGTTCATATATTGGTTCTCTCTGGGTGGTCCAGACGGGGTATGGACCGAAAGGGCCAGGGACGAAGAGAGAACATCTACACACATATATGCATACCAATCCGGCAGGGGAAGCAGCGGGCGTGTTTGGGGCCGTAGAAAAACGGTTGGAGAACCCACCCATCGAGCATAGATAATACCGACTCGATCCGTTTGACACCACACCATCAACTGATTGGCAATACTGCTTCGGCGTTCGCCAAGCATAGGGTTCGCGTGCTACACGTACATGTACGATTTGCTCTGCTGCGGACGACACACTGCTATTTTATTTCCTTTTTTTTGCTCCTTGCCTCGCTCCCCCACCTGATGAATCAAACTCATCATGTTTTTGAAGCTATTTCATATGATACACTTGTTTCACCTGCCACTGTCGATGTCAAACTCCGCCAAGAGGATATAGTCCACGAGCGCGGGCGCCTCGGCTCCCCTCGTGCCGGCCAATCCGAAGTGTAGCACCCGGGAGCCCGCCGCTCCTCCAGCCTGCGATGTCAGGCTCTTTGAGGGGCTCTGCATCCCGGCAGTTGCAAAACCCGCTCGCGGAAACAATCAAATATCTCCCACGAGCCGTAGCCTGCTGCGGGTAGGCAGCAGCCAACCTCTGGCCACAAGTATCAGCAGCCCACACCTCTGTGTTGCAGGTGCTGAGCGGGACACCACTTCGTGAAGACAACACAAGGCTGACTCTTTGGCTGCTCTCGATCTCTTATATCACTGGTGGTTCATCGTCGTCGCTATATTCGCCTTTTTCGGGAGTCTCCGCAGATCCCTCCCCTGACAGCAGTCGCAAAATGTCGCACACAGGCCTCTTCAACTCCGTTTTTCGAAGTTTTGGCTGGGGATGATGCTCCGCAGCATGCACCCGAGCACTGCTTCACGAGCACGGTCAACACGTGCCCCAATCTCCCTCTCCTCTCTCTGTTTTCTGCGGGCGCCAAGACAGCAGGCACGCTCTTTCGCGACAAGTCAATCTGTCGAGGAGGTCGGTAAAACCACAACGACGAAAAAATAAAATGTCTGGTGGGGCTCCGCAGAGCAAGCATCTACGAAAAAGCTAGATATATGCTGATTTTCATCTTTTGCCCCCCCCCCCTCTTGCTTGCTTGCTGCTGCCAAACCCAAGCCAACAGAGCATTGCTGCTGGCGTGTGCGCTACTCTGCCTGTCGACGCGTACTCTCCCGGGAAAATCATCATGGCGTTGGTGAGTCAGGGCATCTTGTACTGCAAGGTCGAGTGTCGAATTTGTATTGGAGGGGGTGTCGACTGAGTATACAGTTGTGCGGAGGGACAAGAAGCAAAGGCCTCCCGATTCTACATACTGTTGGAGAGAGGGAGAAAGAGGCCGACGGCACAGCACCGAAATTCTGCTGCTATCGCAACCGCGCTGTTTATTTGTCCTGGTGTGCCAGGCGGTGCAGCAGGCGTCGTAATCAATCGAAATATGAAATGTGAACCCTGAATAGCGGTGTGCCTATGTGTATGATGTTCCGCCAGGAGAGGGGTTACAGCAGAAGCGGACCGTCTCACCCCTCACCAACGTACACCAAAGCTTTTTCGTAGATGTTTGCTCCAGTTGGCCAAAAACGATCTCATTATCATTACGACCAAAATGAAGCGTAGAAGAAGAACGCGGCTTTGATGTACTGTATTGGTAATATAGCCAAACCCGAAGGTGGTGCCCTCTCATCACATGGGAATCACAGGACGTGTTGTTCCAGTTGGCCAAAAAACGGCGTCGACTGCTGTGCAGCATCACATCGCAGCCGTTGCTGGCTCTTGTAGCGAAGAAACAGCAGCAGTATTGGGGCGGTCCAGTGTTGCACGCAAGACGACTCCGGTCGCATCGCCATATCCCGAAAGGGTGCTTTCCTAAGCTGCACCCACCCTTCTCACTCGTGTTCCACTCTTTTGTCTCTCTTCACCCCGATGTGCACCGTGTTGCATGCACCCCCACCCCTCCTCCTCGTACCCGTGATGCTCGCCTGCGGAGCCCCGTCTCTTGCCGCCGACACCGATCGCCCGACACATTACGCCGTCCGAACACCTGCAACAACCTCGTGATGTCGTGCCAACGCGAAACAGGAACTGCTCCCGCAAGTAAAGGCCGTCCTCATCCTTGACGAGGATGGTGGCCGCGTGTCTTGCAAGTACCACGACCGCAAGGAGTTCCCAAACCTCGGAGCGGAGGCGATGTTCGAGCACAAGCTCTTCAGAAAGACCAAGAGCGTGAGTTTTTCCGCGAAACGACGGGTGCCGAGGGGCCCTTCGAGAACGTTACTCTGTTCTTTACGTTTGGTTGTACGTGTCGCCTCTATTGCTTAGACTGTGGGATGCACGGGTCGTAAACGGCGTCTCTCCCTCTCTCTCTCTCTCTGCTCCTCGTCGACCACTCTCCCTTCAGCTGCCTTGCTCAATCATAGCCTGACAAGCACAACCACGCGTTTCCACGCGTCTCTCACCCCTTGCCCGCCCGCCTTAGTTCCCCCCCCCCTGCTCTATCGCACGCGTGTGATTGGCGCGCTAGGTACATGCTCCCACGGAGGCGGACGTGGTGTTGCTTGACGACGTCGTGGCGGTGTTCAGGAGCGGCCTCGACGTGCACCTCTATGTCGTGAGTCTTAGTCTCGAGGCAGGAGGCCATTGCTCTGTGAAAACATTCGATTCTGCACCTCGAAAGTGCCAGCATTTTTTCCAGTTCTTGTGCAGGATTGCCGTGTCCTCCCTTGTTGTGTGTTGTACTTGAACCAAACTCTGAGATCGCCGCGGCGGGGCTTCTACAGGACGGTCTAGAAGGGCATGTGGAGCAGTGCAAATCAATCGTGTCGTTCGATGAACTGCCTCGATGTTCGAGCATGGCGATTTGTTAGTGTCCTACTAGTGTCTTGATACGTGAAATGGCGTTACCGCAGGTTGGGTCTACGGATGAGAACGAGCTCATCCTCACGGCCGTGCTGGACGCTTTGCACGAGACCCTTCTCATCCTTCTTCGGGGACAGGTGTGTATTATATTCCCGGAGCTTTAGAACTGTCTACGGTCGCAAGCGTTTTGGCGCAGAGCTAGATTCACATCAGACCCGAAGGGCGGCATTTAGCGTTGTCGTGCTTGCGACAGGCTATACAGCATCAAAGGCCGTGCGAAAAGCGGCACGCCAGCCTCGCAGGCTCGCGGTTCCACCCGCCAAGGGCGTGGCTGAGCGGGCGCGTTGTGTTTGACCCATCAAAAGCTTAAGCCAGCCGAAAGGACTTCCGGTGTTTGCCCGAGCGACCGGTGTTATTTTTTCGAGGGTGTTCTGTTGTCGTAGGGTGATGCTGACATCCTGCCGGGGGAAGCGATGTTTCTCGCAGTCGCGCTGTTTCCGCGACGATTTTTTTTGCGGCTGGTTTTTTTTTGCGACTTCGTCGTGTGTTGGTGGTCCGTCACTTGTCAGTTCTGCCCCCCTCCTCCCGCCTACGGTAGCCCTTACCCTTCCCTCGGCGTGCATCGCCCTCCGGCGGCGGTTCTAGATCGACCGGCGAACTCTGCTGGACAACCTCGCCCTGGTGTTGCTGTCCATCGACGAGCTCGTGGACGCGGGAAAGATTTTGGAGATCGACCCGTCGGCGATCGCGAACAGGGTGCTCATGCGCGGGGCTGACGCAAGGGGGCCCCAGAGTTCAGACGTGAACTTCCCCCAGGTACGGGAGAGCGGGCACTACGTTACTGCTGTATGGCACGTTCTGGACTGGTATTTTTCTTTGTTCCGTCCTTTTTCCATCTGTCGCGGTATGGACTGCCCATACTTTGTGTGCGGTTCCGCCGCCCCTGTATGACGACCTTAGTCCAGTATCGCACAGTATGTATCCTCTGCAATGCGTGGTACAGTAGTCAATTGCTTCACGCCGCCGGTGAAGCAATTTAAGAACGGAGAAGAGCAGGTTAAGGATGTGTTTGAATGGAATGTTACAGGCTGCGACCCAAAACAAATGCGGCCAAGAGTTCGTGTGTGTGAACAGCGGTGCTTCACAGGCAATTGGGTCTCCGTTTGGTGTGAATCGTGTTCAGTTTGGGCACCAAAAAGGGCGGGGTCAGGTGTGTCAAACGCACCGATTCGAAGGCAACACAGCTTGCCCCTTTGTGGTGTCGATCAGGTTCAGTTTTGGGGAGCACAGCGCCGTCCAGTGGTGGTCCCACGTGATTGGTCAACAAAGCACCCGACTCTGTTCGGCAATAATCCACAGCGATGCTTTGCAGATTGTGCCGACCTTCGAAAAACTGCCGTGATGTCGAGGGCGTGGCTTGTCCCGTGCACGTTACACGTTGACGGCTTTCCCACCGGACGGGCACTTGGCTGTGTTACACTCTCGGGCGCTTTTGAACGCGTCTTGGTCTTACCCCGTTTTGGTCGTCTTGCTTGCCCTCGCGCGCGCTCGTGGTGCAGGCGATCGCATCGGTACGCGAAGAGTTTATCAAGCGAATGGGAAACTGATGAGCGGGCGACCTGACCTGCTGGTTTTGCACGCGGCGGGGAGCGGAGTGGAGCGCATGCGAATTTTACCACACGCTGACGTGGCGGTTCCAGTGGCTGTTGGGGGATGATGGGTCTGCAACCACTTTTGGGCTGTAAGAGGCTAGACCGTGGGATCGGTGCATGAGACAGGCAGACCTAAATAGTTCATCCCCCTCTGACGGACGGGATCCTTCAAGGATCATGATTGGAACGATTGCACGGTGGCCTTGGCTTGGTGTTCTTTGCTTCCCCCGCACAGTTTCACGCGGTGTGTATCCACGTAGTCGAAAACCTAGCTTTGTCAGGTTATCTGCGTGCTGTGAGCAAGAACCGAGAGGGGCTTTGGATGGCAAAGCGGTTGGTGTTGCCGCTGACCCTTTTGTTGGTGTTGCGGCTGACGTTTTTGTTGGTGTTGCCGCTGACCTTTTTGGACAGCCGCGCATAAAGTTTGACCACGACGTCTTGAACGTTTTTCTTCCGCTCAAGCGCCGCCCATCCGTCGAATCGCCATTCGTAGTCGCCTCAACACCGGGCCAGCATATTGGGTTTTGGTAGGCATGCTGTATCTTATGCGAGCTAGAGGTTTTTGTACGGGTACAAGGGCAGTGGGGCTGTTCGTTTTAGGGTGTGGGTGGACAAGACACCAGGGAGGAAACTTGACTCGCCACCACGTAAAGAACTTGACAAAATGTACAGATCTTGGAGGGTTCAAAACTTCTCTCGGAACATGAAGACTTGAACCCCCCCGCTGTTTTTTGGTTTCACCGCGGACTTGTTGGGAAACTTGGAGGTTTTAAGTGATGCCGCGCTTGTGAAAGACGCAAGGCTGCAAATGGCGATGGCATACGTGCGCGGGGGTGCGTGCAGGGATTTGCCACACGGGTGTTGGTATTGCAAGCGCCAACACTGCTTGCTGCATGCCCCGCGTCCTGTTACCGTGTTGCAGGCAAGCGTCTTGCTGTTTTCAAGCTATATCTACGCGTGTGTGACGCTTCGCCAATAACCCCGTCCCCCGACTTGACTGGAAAAAGTCGCGAGAACTCAACAATTAAGCGCATCAGGCAGGAGTTTCGCGAGTCCGGGTGGCTGGCGCAAAATAAACTTGAAGAAGAGGATATAAACGCAGCAGCCACAATGCGACCCTGAGTAATTTTTTCCTCTCGGCAGACGTGACACAGGGCAAAATTCCAACAACACCGATGCAAACACGCGAGGCGCGCAGCGTACAGTCTGCTGCTCACCGCATAAGGCGTGCACAAGCCGAACGTCGTTCTCAGCCTCCAACGTTGGTCGGCCAGGTGGCAACGTGTCCGTTGGCCATCACCCGTCACTAAAACGAGGTACCATGACGGCGCTTCCGTCGCCGCTCAAGAACAGGAGGGTGAAGCGGGAAATTATAAAAAAAAAAAAAGTGCAAGTGTGGAAAAACAAAAAAAAAAGAAAAAAAGTGATCGCACCATCACCACCGAAACATGAACCATAGAGTACGACCAAAATGAGGACGACAGTCTTAAATTGAGCCACCATTCGACCCCCAGGAATCAAAACAAAGACGACTCGCGCCGCGCGCGAGAGCCGGGGGGGAGGGTTTCGAAACGGCGACCAACATCCATCCTCCCCAATATAACTACTACCACAACAGAAGGCTAAAGTGACATACACCGCCTACATGCCCAATAATGCTGTGCAGCATTACACGTAGAGGGATAAAAATACAGGTACAGATAGGTCCAACCAACAAGACCGCCCAGCGCGGGTAGCGAAAAAAATACACGCTGGTCTTTTTGCGCCAAACTGTACGGGGTCGTCACGAACCGGAACCTGTTCCCCCGCAACACCCCGTAGCTCCGCGAACCGAATATCGTGACCCCAGGAAAAGATAGAACGCTATACGTGGTCCAAAACTTGTGCGCGGTTTTTATCAATTGGTTTCTATCCAAGTCAGGTTCCTAGTACAGCTTCTCATCTCGTCTTGATTGGCCAATATGGGTTCAAGCGACGAGTAACCCGCCACGTAAGGGAAGGGACCACACCGCAAAACTGTCTCTCCCGGTCCTTGCAGACAAAGGGAGATCACATGGCGCTTACGCACAGGGGGGCAGGCGCACAAGCCACGTTCAAAGTCGCCACATAACACAAGTCGCATCCGTCGCGCAGCAACACCTCTGCTAGATCCCAACACTTGGGTCTTGTCGGAAAGGACCCACTCCTGTTTCCAAAAAAAAAAAACGAGGAGATTCTTGAACCACAAAAAGTGGGAGAGGTACGTGGCCAAACCAGAAAATTTCCAAGAAAATACCCCGGCACGAGAAACGACGCCTGCACGACAAACCATCACATCCCATTTTCAAGCTCCGCCCGTGTTTCGTGGAAAATTTCAGCTTCGCAAGCGCCACGGAAAGCCACATAAGTGCACCTCGCATAGATCCTGCTCAGCTGAACGTTTGGGGTGATACCGGGCGATCGTAGGGAGGCTGCGTGCTACCGCCACCCTGCTGTTGTTCTGGAAACAACCCGCCTGGCACTATGGACGTAAAACCTGACGTGACCGACAAACACTCCCACGGAAACAACTGCCGCGGGACGACGCTGCCTGTGGGAGAGCAACATACTGTAGGGGTAGACCAGGAACAACAACATCAAGAACGCCTCCGTCAGGGGCAACCGGAACGTGTGCCACGGACCACACTGCCCGCGGAAGAGGAAGACAGGTACCAACAACGCGCGTCGCCTAGAACATCAAGGATGCCTTCGAGGGGGGGACCATGTTGCGTGGGAGACCATCCGGCAGCGGTTCCCCCGCTTTCGTCCGGTCGCACAGGTGCATCGCCACCGTGAACTCCTCAAGGTCAAGCATCCCGTCGTTGTCCATGTCGGACAAATCCCAAATTACGCTGGGCGCGGGGGCAAAGAGACGAGGACAGGGGGAGCGGATGATACCATTATTAGTGTTGGAGGGGATTGCAAAGGGAGTGTGGGCCAAATTACGGTTTCACTACCCGGTATAACGTAAGGTCGCAACTGATTAAAAAATAAGGTCCGGTCGCCATTGAAAGCCCGGACGGAAAGGGAGGGGTATTTCACACACAGGTACGTAGGGGGGGGGGGGTTGCATCACTGTTTGCGCAACTTCGGCGGAACAACCATGTAGGCCTTCCACCGGGTTCTCATACGCACTAAATATATTATGGACCGGTGGATGAAATGCAAAGGTCATAACTACCAGATAGTTTTCGCGCGTGGGGGCTCAATTTTACCAACACTCCCAGACAGAATAAAACAAGGCCCAAAGGCTGGTGCGTCCAGGATGGCACCGAAATGTGCAAGGACCGACGCCCAGAACAAACGGGATAACACGAAAAAAAAAAAAAAAAACGCTCCCCGCTCCCCCGCCAAGGCCAATAGTCCAACGACTACAGGATGCACGGCCGTGAGTTACCCTCCCGCGCTCAAAGCTACTGCACAACTCCACGTATCACGGCCGATATCGACCCCCCTGAACACGCCCACTCACCGTAGCGTGTCGTTCGGGAGGCCAGATTGCACCAAGGGCGCTCTCGCGTTGACGGCACTGAGCTTCCCCGCCACCGGTTCGTACTCCTCGAACAGGCCCCTCAGTTCCGCCGCTTCCACCTCTAAGGCCCACCCCGACGCGCTGGGCTCGTCCCCGAACGGGTTGCTGTCCTGTGGCGGTGGCTGGTTGCCGTGATGGGTGTAGGTGGCGCAGTGTGCGGGCGAATTTATCGTTAGCATCGGCCGAAGGTGACGGAAGAAAAGACGTAAGTCTCCGCTCGGTTGAAAACAGAAAAAAAGTGCATGTGTATGCGTATCTGTGCGTGCTTCATTAACCGAGGATTTGTGGGGGCGACGCCGTGTGGATGTGAGAGTGTGCGGGTACATGCGTGTGTGTGACTATTTGGCTATTGGCATCGATCGCGCGAACCGCTCGAAGCGACGTCATATTGGGCGGGGGGGGCGTGTAGGCGTGGGTGCAACGTCCAACGAGCTGATCGGCTCAACAGCGGAAGCACTTCAATAAACATGAGGGAAAACACATGGTCATGTGCCCAGCTGCTCCTCTGCGTAACTGGTGCTGTAAATCGAGAGCAAACCCGCAGACGCCTTCGAACCCACACCGCCTCTTCCCCATAATCGGCCTGTTTTCGCAGAAACTCGTCATCACCTATTGCCTAGAATCGCATCCCAAGAGAGCATCCAACGCTAAGCTGGTGAGGATTTCGAACGGCTTCGAACGCGAAACCAGCACCATCCACGACGACAACATCCACACCATCCACGACAATAACAAGCACGCCAGCCTGAACAACATTAGCAACTGCTGTACAGGCACCTTGAAGGGATTCGCTACCCCTGTTGGCTCCGGGGGGCTGCCGCCGTAGCTTCCACCCCCGCTTGCCCCACCTGCCCATCGCTGATCGCCCTCCTGGTGAGAGTGATCGCGGCAAAAAAAAGAAACAAAAAGAAAGCGCAACACAAGGAGATACGGAAATTGAGACCGTCTGATAGCGGAAGGGAGACGCCGTGTACCATTGCAGACATATGTTGTTGTTTCCAGGCAAGACGAGAACAAACAGACTTGTTTGCGCCAGAACCAAGGTTTACCGTCGATTTTACGTCAGAAAATCGGTCTCGAAAACGAGGAATATATTCCCGAATGATTGGGGGGGCAGGAGGGGGGGGGGGGGGGGCAGCCGAAAGGGCGTTTGCTCGCGTTGCACGCCCGTCTCGTAGATACTGCTTATGGGAACCCCTTCGTTTCAACCACAGCGTATGGCAGCGTCGCTACACTCCACAATTACCCCCCAAGCTCTCTCCCGCTCGTGTAGGCTGACTGGATTTCCACCGGCATGTGGGATGCATCACAGGTTCCGGTGCTGTTCCGACTGCACATGAGGCGGCCACGGCCAAAAAACATTCCGTTCTCCAGGTACAGTGGCGAATCCGACATATCTCGGTCCCGACTAAAGCGGTTCCCGATATATCGCCGTTAAAACTCCTTGGCACAAAGCTCTACTGCATTGCTAACCTTCCCCAGTAGCGCGGGTCCCCATATTCCGCGGTTTTTTGACGATTGTCACTTCAAGGCGGAAACCGAGAACACCACTTGCACTCCATAATGATAGCGGTTCTTCGGACAACATTCAAAACATCGCAAAATACCAAAACCGTTCGCTGCTTTTCGTGGCCGCGTGCACCCGACCAAGCCCCGCACCTGCTCGTAGTACCCTCCTCCCCCTCCCCCCCCTCCCCCTCCCCCTCCCCTTGAAGCGCCCCCCGGGGCGTTGTACTTGGGCGGCGTTGGGGTGTCGTTACTCTCCTGCATAAAATTCCTGATCTGTGATGTGAGAGTAACGAGCCCGGCGGGCGTTTTATGAGACGGTCATGAGCAGTATAATAGTAGGCATTTGCAGATGGGGAGGAGGGTCGAAGAAAGAACAGATGGAAAGATCAAAATGAGGGCTTGGGGTATGGGGAGGGAGGGAGGGAGACTCAGAGAGAGAGAGAGAGAGAGAGAGAGAGAGAGAGAGAGAGGAACACGGACCTGCAATACAACCATGTTTGGAATACGCCAGTCTCTTTAGAGCTATTCTCTCCCCCCCGCCCCGCGCTCTCGCTGAAGCTCTCCCTCTCTGTCACATAAACACATAATCGTTCACTTCGCCCTGCGTCCCTCATTCTCTTCTCCAGTCTTTCCTCTCTCTTCCCCCTTCCCCCTTCTCTGAATGCCCCCTCCTCTCCACACACACCCCATCCCTGTTGTCTCTGCTTCTCGCCCAATCATATCTCATTATGTCGCGGCCTACAGTCGTACCTGTTCGTCTGCTCTGGTAGGCGCCACCGTTCTTGGCAGCATCTCCATCAGTCTTGGGATATCCACCGACAGCATCTGAGGGTCACGGTCAGGGTGCACACGAGAGGACAGACACCAACAAAGAACGCACACGCCGCCGAGAAAAGTTGAGGGTACAGGGTGTTCAGGAAACACCGACGATACTTGTACCACAGCCAAACAGCACCACCGACGATAGCTAAACACAGCGGCAGCAGTTAGAACAGCAGTCGCAGCAGCAGCAGCAAGACCACGACAGCTCCAGGTACGCACACCAGGTTTGGATAAACCTGAACCTTGCCAAGTCCTCCAAAGAGAGGTACTCAGGACCTCGTATCGACGGTAGGCCGCAAAAACGTTGGGATTCGAAGACCCAAGCAAGGCTAGGGGGCTTCCCAGAAAATACTGCGGGACACCAGACGTGCACTTGTTTGCGCTTAACGACGACAACGACAACAGCGGTAAGAAGCAATAGAATACAGGAAAAAAGAACCTGCTCAGGACTGCCTACGGAAATAAAGTAAATAAGTTTATTACGATACGAAAAAATATCAGGGAGGGGCCACGCAGGCCCCTAACCCCAACCTTTAGCCGATTCAATACTATTTCCAGTATGTTTGCTTGCATACGTAGCGTACACTACTTATTGCCTGCTCACCTCATCTAATTCCTCGAGCATCTTGACCTTGAGCTTGGGGAACTTGGTGAAGTTGGTGTCTGCCAGCTTAGACCGGAATGGCTCGAGATCCGGGAAGTCTCCCGGCGCGAGGTTGTGCTGTTTCATGACAGCGCGAAACACCTGCGCGAGGTCTGCCAAGACAGGGGAGAGACATGGGGGGGAGAGAGACAGAGAGAGACGCGCACAGGGAGAGTGACACACACACAAAAGCGAGACACGGGAGAGAGAGAGACAGAGAGGGAGGGGGAGAGACAGACAGACAGGTCGAGAGGGAGAGAGGGAGAGAGAAAAAGAGGACGAGAGGGAGAGAGGCGTTGCACGTGGAGAAGGTCATTACTAGCAAGCGCCAGTTCGTTTCGCAAAAAGATGCCGCCACCACCACCCATACCCCCACGTGATGTTCTTACGGCGACGATACGCGAAATGAAACAGTTGCTTCAGCTCGATCCTTGCATGCTCGAGGCTGGTGACTGAATTTCCGGGGGTCGCCAGCTAAGCCTAATGAGGGTACCACAAACTAAGCGATCATTAAAAACCGGGAGAAAAAATCCCCCCGTCATTCCGAAAACGAGGTGGAACGTCCCAAGACTTCCATCCAAGACAACACGAGCACATGGTACACTTACACTTCCGAGTAGCATTTACGTCAATTTCTAAGGAGCATTTGCGCCAACTCCTAGCGAGCAATCACGCCAACTTCCGAGCATTTCCTTGTCCCAGGCGCCATCCCTCCCTCCCTCCCTCCCTCCCTCCCTCCTTCCCGTTCCCTTACCGGCGGTGAGCTGCTTCTGAACCTTCTCCTTCCCCATCATCGACGGCATCTGTGCTCGGAGGTAGCCGATGATGTAGGCGTGCACCTGTCGGACGAGAAACCGCAGCACGGCCAATTAGTTTTTCGTGTTATCTATTATTCGCAGCACGGCCATAGAGTTTTCCGGTCTTGCCTCTCGCGGAAAGCACAGCAGCAAGCACGCACGGAGCCGTCAAACCGACCGACGTGAAGAGCCCGTTGGTCGTAACCGTCTGGCTGATCAGCCTAAAACCTTGAGCCCAACCAACCCTTTCAAACAGCAAGCAAACTCCTCTAGATCGTTTAGATAAAGACGATGCCGAAAACACTTCCAACGCAAGTCGTGTTGCTGCTGCTGTTGTTGTTGTTGTTGTTGTTGTTGTTGCTGCTGCTGGTGTTGCTCTTGTTGTTGTCTTCGTCTTCACATCAAAAACCGTTCCGATCTCGTACTGCTTCACAAAACTCCAACCAAGGACGACCCGACGCTGTACGTCAAGACCAGCCCCACCCGTTCATTCACCTTTGCGAGCCGGCACCGCTTGACGAGCTCGTTGATCTTCCGGACCGCCGAGTTTCGGGGAAGCTCTCTGAGGTCGTTCATGAGATCTCTCTCCTCCATGTCGAACAGGGCCGCGTTGTCGTCGTACATCAACGGCTCGTCCCAGAAGGACCCCACGTACACCCTTAGAACCTGCCGTGCGCGGCCGGGGCGGAGATCTTCTGAACAGGCTCGTGGTAGAAAGACCATCGGGGCACCCATCGCAAACGTTGTGATGGAAAAATAAAAATAGAACTTCTGGACGGTGTGCCTACTAGCGGGTGACATGTTTGTGGGTTTACGACACAGAGCCATGTTTTTCGCATGGGGCTGGTGGGGCAAGGTCAGGATGCCAGTTTTGGCGAGGAGAGGGAACCACCATCGACGACCCCAGCAGCACAGCCGACAACGGCGATCACCCCCCCCTTCCCCCCCCCGACCCAAAACATTACCCCCCTCCGTCACCATCACCAAGGACCAACAGCAGATCCCACCTCCGGTGTGCGGATGATCTTCCCCATCGACCACATCAGCGCCCCGTACACCCTCATCAGCTTCTGCCGGTCCACCTGCATGGACAAAGAGCAAAACACCGCGACAAAACAGCAGAAAAAATATGCCATGAGCGGATCGGTAGCACACAGCCACAGCCTCCAAATTAACCCCGTGTCGGAGGCAACACCACATCACGACATTTCAGCATCGTGCGATACTATAAGCAAGAACATAGCAACGGACCACCGGCCTGTTGGCGTGCGGGGTGTGTGTGTGTGTGTGAACTTGGTTCAGCGCCCGCAACAAAGTTATATATGAAGGACACAAAACACACCACAGCAACAGGACACCGAAATAGTTTTGCGTGGCTGGCCGAAACACACGACAATTTGATCGGTTCAGCGCGATATGAAATATGCGTAGTAAAAATAAAAAAAAGGTTTCAGTTCTTGGTTGGTCTGGCGTCCTGCCCGACCTGCCGGTGCGACAATCATCTCCGTTTGCACCATGACTGAGCTGCGTAAAAAGTTCCATCCTAATTATACCCATTCGCCTCGTTCTATCTACCAGTATTTACTAACGAAACGCCTCTTTACAGCAACAAAACACCGGGGAGGGTTCCAACAACGACAAGCTTGTTTCCCCAAAACCAAAACATGTTTTCATTCTCAGAACGAAACGCCACTTTTCCAACAACATAACGCCTGCTCTCGACGACAAAACTTCTGTCCATCACATAAATCTCCCCGCTACCTGATCGGCTTTGTTTAGTATGACTCTGATCTTGTCATCCTGGCCCTTAAGCCGCTCGATCACCGCCTTGAACTCGTCGCTGATGTCCAGCTTGTGCGCGTCGAACAGCAGCAGGATGAGGTCAGCCCTCTCCGCGAACCAGTGGCACACGTTCACGAAGTCGTACCCGCGCGACACCCGCTGCTTCTCTCCCGAGAGCACGCCTGCACCGCCGTTCATGTTGGTGGTAGTGGCGTTAACGTTAAAAAGTGTTGGAAGGTTCGTGCTCCAACGCAACTAGATGGTGGGGACTAGCAAGCCAACCACGAATCCCTACAACGATTGTTGACGTTTGTTGATGGCTTGTGCTCGAATGCGATCTCGTTGCGCCGACCTCTCCGGGCCTTTCGAAAACCCTAGCCCTCTTTCAAGTTCCATAATTCGCCCTTTTCGGGTAGCGGTTGGGCTGTGACGACGGAAGGCTTCTGCGTCAGTTGGACCCGTACGGATGTCGCACGGTGCTGAGTTTTATAACGCGTATTTTTATCGTCCAGAGAACACAACAACAACAACAACAACAACAACAAAAAATAAGGACAAAAGACAACAGAAACAACGACGATCTCAACCCCATGACAACCCACAACACAAAACTCACCCGGCGTGTCCACAATCGTGATGTTCCTCAGCACCGGAGACGGCAGCTGGCTCGCCTCAAACTTGTTCAGGAACGACACTCCGAACCGGTCCAGCCCCCGGTACGGAAGGTTCGGCGAAACCGTCAGAGCGTTCCCGGGAACGACTCTCTCGTCGGACCCGTCCATTACCGCCACGAAACGGTCGGTAGTAGGCTCTGGCCCGATGCGCTGGCCCGGGAAGTCGCGGCCGAGCAGATATCGGATGAACTGCTCGATGCGGCGAAATTTCAAGCGGGGATCGGAAGATGGGAACAGGAGGACAACGTCAAACGAGCGCGACGTGAGCACAGGAAATGTGAGTGAATGGTATCCCGAACGCAACGCGCGGCGTCGAGTGTCTGCCTTGTCTTGTCTTGAATGATATGAACCTCGACAAGAGAGGTTAAGGCACATGCGACGACGACGACGGTGGCGGGTCCGCAAGAGCCGACGTGCCGCACGGAGGATTGCTGCTATTCCCGAGAAGAAGGGCCGTGAACACACTACGGACCATATCGCAAGTTGCACGTGATTTTTAAAATGCTCAAACACCTCGAAGAGAGAACGTTCCAACGCCGCCACCTTTGGGCGCCGTCACTATCTCTGCAGAGTTTGTCATCCAAAAAGGGCGTAGGTATCATATGCAAGCTACCGTAGCCCCACAAGCTTCTGTCGTAATGCTTGCGACGCCAAGAACCAGACAAATCCCACACACGCACGCACGCAGGAACAGGCCGCAGCACACGGTATCCCACACAAGATACCCCCCCCCCCCCCCCCCCAAAGAGCTAACACCCCCCCAACAGAATACCACCCGCGGTCAAACAATGTTTAGAAGCTCAACATGCACTCGCACTGCGAAAGTACTCTCAGATCAAGTGCTAGAGCCACCGAAGACACCACGACCCATGAGAGTATTTTCAAAGCCTAAAACGTAATGGTGGAGGGGGGGGGGTGTTCTCTGGTGTGGAATGCCGTAGAACACCTGGACCGACCCCCACGCCAACAGAGTATTCATTCACTTACCGACGTTTTTCCCGTAGAGTACTGCCCGCACATGAGCACCTGCGGCTTGCTCTCGAACTCGCTATCCGTCAGGGGGGGAGAGTGGAACCATCCGAACATGTACGTCTGCTCGAGCGGCTTAAGCTTGGTGTGGTACAGGCGCTTGAGGCCCTCCACGACTGCCGCCGTGGCCTCGTCTTGATCGGCCATCGACATGTTTCCTAGGTGATGTCGTAGATATCGTAGATTTCCTCAGGCGCCGAGGGTGGCCGCCCCGCCCCGCAGCGCAGTTCCTTGCTTGTGCCCGTCCACGGGGTTGGTGCAATGGGGTTGTCCAACGGCTGAAACACCTGCTCGAGGAAATACGGGGGGTTGGACACGTTGACAAGCATGTGATCGACTTTTCACGTTACACTTGGCGTGCTTCTTCGCCTGGTTTGACGCTGCCGTTCACCCCCCGGGGGTGTTAAATACTCGTGCTATGAACCTGACTTTGAGCATGCAAGAGACGATCGAAACTCAGCGCGTGTGTCTACCCAACTGAAGCCAGCGTACCGCCGTACCTCCAGCCAAGAGCGGTGTTCACAGTGCCACTGATGTTTTGGTCCTAGGTGCGCATTTCTTCAAAGCGGGCGTACAAGCGCTGTCGCTAGAAGCGCCGCTTTTCTGGCATTGGTTACGGGCTACTGTATAGCTAACACACATGAAAGGGAGAGACAGGGCTACAGCAGTACTTCGGTTGTAGTGGGACCGGGCCTGTCCCCGGTCCCTGTGGGATTATTTTGAGTATAAATAGGGTGTGATGCACCCGAGTGGGCATAACGCCCGCCAAAAATAGCGGCATAGAAGTCTTCCTATTCTGTAAACACAGGCTTTGTGCGCGCCCTCTCGACTGGAAAGCGACGACACTCCGGGAGCATCGGTGTGCAGGTACACGAAAAATGGTGTGACCCGGTGTACAGCAGTGTCGCTGTTTGATTCGACTGCTGAACGCGTACAGCATGCCCAAGAATAACATACGCACTCCAGCCTTGCTCCAGCATGCATGGAACAAAATACACCTGCTGTTCATGTGTTTGCCGGTGGTAATGCTGCTGTAGTTGACGCATTACGGGAGACAGCTGTGAACGGTAAACAACACATGCTTTGTTGCAACCACAGGGCCTCCTATTCCCGTAGGACCTGGTTGCAGAACATCAAGTTCGAGACATCCTTCCCTGCAGCAGCAGAAAACAGATGCTACCGCAGCGGATGTCTGTCACGAGAGCTCTATTTCAACAGCAGAGGACTACTGCACCTACGGCTGAGGTGCATGCTTGCAACCATCTACGAAAATACCGCTGTTGTATGTTTGTCTCCCAGCAATCGGCCACACAAGTCGATAACTTCTTGCAGCTGAGATTCGATCTGGAACTCCGCACGCTGGCAGCACTAAAAAAAGGCAGAGGTTGAGACAAAGCAACGTCGTTATGTGGTGCTGTAGGACTGCTTTTCACAGGATGGAACCAGCAGGAGCGCACAGGCCGAAATTATAATATGTGCGTCTGGTTTTAGCAGATGAGGTTCGTGACGGCTTCGAGCTTGGATGTCGCACGCGGGCAGCAGCAGTGCATCATGCGAAGAGAAATATCGTCAACCAAACAAAGTATAACAGTTCTGGTGCTGTGTGCCGACGCTGCTTTTGCGCTGGAGAGGCGGTGCTCTGTTCTTCCGCCCGGCACACCTCCTCTCCCATCTAATGCTGTTCAAATGCAGCAGGCGGAGAGACAAGTTTCGGTTGCTGTCTCGCACATCGCAAACCCCTCGACGAAAAGAGTCGCCAATACACCTTGGCGCCACAGTTGCAGCAGTTGGTAGCTGAGGGGCAATCACACACACACGAGAGGCGGCTTGGTTTTTGCGCGCACAAACGAAAACTGCGCGTTGTGTCTGGGCAAACGCAGGGCAGCGGGACGCAGCGCTGAAGACAAACAGAGGCCACCCTCTAGCGCACACGTTCAGAAACCGCAGCCCGGTTTCGTTAGCACCTCGGCAGGCCAAAAACACACCCACAGGGCTGATATCTCACCTCGGGAAAGCTCCTCTCTTCGCAGTTTGTCTCAAGCCGCTTGAGACACAGACACGAACGCCGACAAGCGAGGGAGCCCACAGACAGCGTTATTGGCACTTCCCATTTTTATCCGCCTTCTGCGTCCCCCCCTGTAGCTTCTTCTTCTTGTGCGTCGTGTCGTTGTCCGGCAACACAACAAGCAGCACGGCAGAGAGCGAGAGGGAGAGAGCGTCACAGAAGCTATTCGTACTCGTCTAGAGGTGAGGCATGTGCGCAAAGTGCGCGAACCCGGCTTGCGGCCGCGAATGCCGAGGGATTAAACACAGAAGGGAGTGCAATATCTCGAGACACCGGGCCAAAATCCATCAGGCCCACCGGTTCTCTCTGTTGCCCCTCCACTGCTCGCGCGGTTTGGACGCAGCTGAGAAACAAGACTAAGGGATTGGCTGCATTGGGTGGTTGATTCAGGGATTTCCCGTTGATGTGCTTGCTGTGCTGGAGGATTTTCGGGCGACGAACGGCGTCTTCTAAGGCTCGTGCCTCTCGTTCCACGCTACGAATAGAGGTCTATGTTGGCAGCAAGCAGGCGGTGTGCAGATCGATGCTGTCGAGATCCACCCGCCGTCGCGGCAGCAGCCGCGACCCCCTTCACTGCAAGAGGGCGAGAAGAAAGGCCACCGGTCCTGTTGATTGTGTCGTCGCACACAACTCCTTGCACAGGCTGCTATCTCAGTCGGCGCTCACTTTCTACCTTGCGATGAAGCACCAAGCTGTTCAATTTTTCAAATTCGAAAGATAGACGCAATCGAGTTCGAGGTTTGGGTTTTCGTGCGCCCGCCACCGCACACACGCACCCATCGGTGTAAGTACATGTACGTGTAGTCGACTGCCGATCACCCCTAAACGGTGTTCCACACCGCCTCCTGAAGCGATGGCGTGTACCTCGGGTATCATCCTTGGGATCTCGTAAAACACGAGGGTAGCACTGAACTGGCAGTTTGCGAAACCAGAACAGCGGAGGTTTTCTCTCAGTTGTTGTGTCATCGAAGTGTCCAAGTTCCGGTAGCGCTCAAATCTCCCCAGGGTTGTCCTGCATCAGTTGCGCACAGCTTGGTGACCGGTTGCAGCTTTTGCGTTTGCAAACCGTTCGCACAAACAATTGCTCCACCCCTGGGAGGTGCTTGAGACACTCCACGCTCAGTGGTCCGCCGGTTATCTAGATCGTGCAAGATACCACCCCCCTGACCTTTTGTAACTCTGGACTCGAGTTCTCCCACAACGGATGCCCCACAGGGTAATGTTGTCGCTGCAGTTGGCACGGGTACAGCAGGTAAAAAAATCTATGTATTCATCGCGAAATTATGCTGTATTTGTTTATGAGTACAAAGATGAGTTAGTGTTGCTGTGCCTCTGTTTGAAAAAGACGCAAGAGTTGTGTCCGTCGGCGAGAGCTTTCTGAATCCGTAACAAGTCCGTCAGTGTGGTTTATCGGCTAGTCCCAGCAGTGGCACCCTCCCATCCAGTTCGAGCATTAAGCGCGAGAACACACTGATGACGGAATCTTGCGCGCACGCGAGTCTCGAGTCGAGCCAGCTAAGCTCGATCTTGGGGCGAGTGTTCCACGCTCTTGCGGCACGGCACCACGTTGTATCATACCACGGCCAAGCCTTGTCGATTGCTCCCCATGATGATGTGTGGTGGCACTCGCGGCTCTCCCCGCGATGTCGCGCCTCACACGATGCTACCTCTTTCCCGACCACCCCGGTTCGGACCTTGCGGTCACCATCCTAATCGCGCTGCTGTGATCCTATCCCCGGTGTTTCTCCGCATATGCAACCTGCTGGACCATGCCTCAGCCGTCGCATTACCCGCAGACTAAATAGGGGCGAATCGAGACTAGCTGGAACCTTTGCGGCGCCATGTCGTACATGAACCAACCGGGGATCATCCTCCTTCGAGAGGGGACTGATTCTAGCCAGGGCAAGGCTCAGCTGGTGTCCAACATCAACGCCTGCCAGGTATGGGATGATGTAACGGTGTTACCCTTCGTAGGGGGAGGGTGTGCTTGTTGTGTTTTTTTTTACACCGTTGTAGGCTTTTTTTTCCGGTGCCGTTGTTGCGGGATGCACGCGGGTACTCTTGTTGTTGCTGTGCCCATTGTTTTTTTTTGTTGATGTTGCACCTCCACATATACAGAGCACCGTTGCATGGCCCACGCAAGGCCACTACCAACCTTAGAGTGCTACTATTATGCATCCTCTTCGTCCCGGAGTAATCGGGCTTTAAAAATCGGTCCAGGAGGTGTGGTGTCTTGTGGCATGCCACCTACGGTAGGCTCTTACACCCCGCCCCGCACGAAAAATAGATATTTTCGGGTGTCCTAGCTGAAAACATGAGCCGCGAGGGTGGTGTATGAAATATGAGGCATCTACGTGTTTCGTGTAAACGCCAGCTGGTGCATCGCTTGATTTCGCGTGTAAAAGTGAGAGTCCGAGTTGGGTTACAGTATCGGTCACGCGGTGCCTGGGCCCATGTCTGTTCTTCTTTTCGATTGCCGACGACACGATTGCCGTGTCAGACCCAAAGGGAGTGTAAATAACATCTCGTGCAAGGTTTGCTGTTTTTTTCTGTTCCATTTTTTGCCGAGAGCGCGTGCATGTCTCGACGACACCAACACCCCACTCATGGTAAGTTCGCTGCGGACAAAGGCCAACCGCTATGCCAGGCGTTTCTAAGTTGTATTTCACCGTTGCCGCGTACTGGCGATGTTCGTCGTCCGATTGCTATTCTTAGGGTGAAGGCGTTGATGGTGACTCTTCTTCTTTGACGCAGATGCCTGTGGTTTGACCGTCTCTCAGAAGAAGCTCCTCCAATCCCATACATGCGTTGTAAAACTGTGTGTTTGTGTTGTCTTGAGACCATACAACGAGTATTTCTCCCCGCTGCACTCGCTTTTTTTTCTTTTTTTTTTGCACGGTGCTTGTCGAAGGCGGTGATGGACACGGTGAGGTCCACCCTGGGTCCCCGCGGAATGGACAAGCTAATCTTCGACGGCCAGAAGGTGCAGCAACGCTTTGCGAAAGGCAGACATATGGGGCAGACCATGCCTCCTTTCGATGTAGACCCACCGCTCGTTTTCGGAACGATTATTGATGGTAGATGAACCCCAAGTGTACGTGATCTTGAGCTGCCTCTCGCGATCGTACGTCGTTTTGTAGAGACGGTTGAGTCTATTCTCTCGGTTTCGGAACAATTATTCGTGGTAGTTGAGCCTAAGGGAAACATGATCTGAGCTGCCTCTGGCCGATATTGCTTCGTTTAGTAGACCGTTGAGTCTATTCGCTCGTTTTTAGTACTCCGGAGTACGTGTAGATGAAGCGGGTGCATGACTCATGAGGTGCCGCCTATCGCCCTCTTCCGAAAGCAACGCCAGCAACAGTGGCTGTGTTGCGCCAAGCCTCATGGTTGCGGACCGACCACGCAGCCAAGCTGGTCGACAACTCACGACCTCAACATACCGCTTGACGCTTTGTACTTGAGGTGTGGTGTGTGGTGTGGTAGGCATGCTCACCTCCAAAGACGGCAATAGATAGATACCCGGTAGATACCTGTAGGACTGGATAAGGGTGAATAAAAAATGAATCGTCCCAAGTCTCATTCAACGTGCGATGACCTTGATTCGACCAACCTCATGTAGCACATGTTTTTTATTTGCATGGTGATAATCTGTCGAAACTTTGCGTTGTTTTTTGGGTGCGGCCCTTGTGTGGGGTGGGGGTGTGTCAGGTGACCATCTCCAACGACGGTGCTACGATCATGAAGCTGCTGGACATCGCACACCCCGCGGCGAAGACTCTGGTGGACATCTCCATGTCCCAGGACGCGGAGGTGGGAGACGATAAAACGGAGATGGGTCGTCGGGGCTGCTTCCGAGTTTTGTTTTTGGACACAGCACTACTGCTGTAATGCAGCATCGTAGACGACTTGGTTCGTTCATGACGCTTGTGGACACCAATAGAGGTTTGACGGTTGGGCGTTGCGTGTTGGTGGTCTTGCCTTGGCTTGAGCGTTTCGCGGTGTCACACAATTGTACGCATACCTCTTTTTTTGCCCAAAACCTCTAGTCGACGTCACTGCTGTGCCGTACGAGATGCACCCCACCTCTCTCGCCGGCATTTTATCCCAACACTGTCGTCTTCGTACTTGTAACACGATAGTTGAAACACAGCGTATCAACTCACATAGCGCCATTGACATTGAAATTGACATTGACATTGGTCGACGTGCGTTAGGTGGGTGACGGGACGACTTCGGTGGTGCTGCTAGCGGGAGAGATTCTCAAGCACGTCAAGGGCTTCGTCGAAGACGGGCTACACCCCCAGGTGAACAAATAACCCCCTGTTGTTGCTGGTGCTGCTACTGCATGTGTCGCGGCTGATGCCTTCTCACTCCCACATGTACCTCAAGGTTGCGAGTCAGCGCACAGGGGTGCTATCGATTTTCAAAGCGTAATTTGTCCACCGCCAGAAGGGTGCGAGCGCCAACTGATACTTCTCAGGAAAGCCCTCGATGAGATATTTCCAAAACCGCCCTTTTCGACAGCAGCAGTGGTGGTATTCTAACCTCCTGGTTGTGGAGAAATGACGCTTAGAAAATCGCTCGCACCCCTGTGCGCTGACTCGCAACCTTACGGTAGTCTACACCGATACGTCTTTGAGCGTGTATCCTCGCCCGTAATATTTTTCTTTTGTTGTGTGCCCGGTCGAGATTCAGATATTTCGAGAGGATTGCGCTTGACCAGCACACGTTAAACGCCTCCCTTCTTTCCTGGCGCCCGGCCTGTGTATCCGCTCCCTCTTTGTTTTTTCTCGGCGGCATGCGTAAAGGTCATCTGCCGCGGGCTGCGGAAAGCGTGCGAGGTAGCCGTCGGCAGGCTGGACGCCGTGTCGGTCAAGCCCACGGACGACGCGCAGGCAAGCCACCTACAGCAGTATTGTACCTATCTCGACCTCACGGACGGCAGGCGTTTGTGCTGTAGCGGGGACGACTTGTCAGCCCCCCCCCCCCCCCACCCCCCCTGTTGGCTAGGCCCCCCGAACAACCACCCCGAAGGAGAAACCTGCTGT